TACCCGGCCATCGGCCGCGGCTACCTTTATCATCCTTTCTGCCCGTTTTGTCGTGTACTCTAGCGGTCGGACAGCCGCCAATCGGATTACCTATCGTTTGAATGCATTGTTCTCTGTACAAGAGGAATGTTGGATAATTACTTTCGGAGACCGTGATAGATTGCGCGTACGGTACATAGTACGCGCAATGTATCACGGTCCCCGAAAGTAATTATCCAACATTCCTCTCGTATTTTTATTTGTACTTTTAGTATTATTTACTACGTAATATCCCATTACCTACGGTTTTCTTTGTAAAACCACAGATGTTTACGTACGCGATTACGTAAACCCGTACTACTTGTACCGCCTGTATTTTTCTATCGATCACGATCAACGGACCCCGGCATGCGCTTACGATTCCGCCTCTTCCCCCTTTCGTCCTACTCCTCTCCCCTAGGCACCCCGCTTCCTCCTTTCACTGCGGCTATATCCGCGAGGACGGCCGCATTCCTTTCCTTCCCATATTTTTGCAACAGATCGTGCGAATTACGTGTTATAATTTTTTTATAAACTCGTAAATATTGAACTTGTAGAAAAATTATCGGACCGCAATTTGAAAAACTCGTAGACCTATAAATTTCGACCGTCGTCGGTACGTCCGTCCGTCCTCAATTTCCAGAAAGGAGTTAGCGATAGTAGTGCTGTGCGATGCATCGATGTTTTTGTTCGTCGATGCATCGACCTTCCGATGTTTTTGAAACATCGATCCTGAATCGATGTGAATTTTGATTCATCCATGCATGCAGTTCATTCTTTGTTCCTAGTGTTACCACCTGTTCGGTTTTCACCCGGACAGTCCGGGAATTTAGTAGAAATTGCGATGAAACAAAGTTCTTGCAAATATGTTTACAAATTTACACTATTTTAACAGTGAACGAACTCACACTCATTGAAACTCACCCTCAACTCTGCCATGTTAGTCTGTTTACGCCGACTCATCGCAGAATGAAAAAGGTTCTGTGGCATTAAAATTAATTCAGCATGTTGAGACTCGATGGAATTCGTATTTCTTGATGATTGAGAGATTTGTACTACTAAAAAATTTTGTTACACTAACATTGCAAAAGTTTCCAGGGGCACCCGACATGCTCTCTGGTAGAGAATTAAGTGCTTTGAATGATGCGCTTAAAGTACTAAAACCTTTTTATAAAGTAACTAATGAAATTTCAGCAGAAACTCACACTACCATCAGTAAAATTATCCCATTTTTAGGGTTAATGTTTAATGCACTTTGCAAGGTTTCTACAGAAACAAATGTGGGAAAGAAGTTGCTGGAAAAATGTTTTAGTAATCTTGATTTCCGTTTTAAATCCACTGAGACGAAGTTGGTATATAGTGTTTCCACATTACTAGACCCAAGGTTCAAAAAGCTAGATTTTAAAAGTCCAGCATGTTGTGCAAATGCAATTAAATGTGTAAATTTCCCTCTGCTGAGGCTAAAATAAGTTTCCACAATAATGCAGAAAATAAACTTGAAGATGATGACCTTTGGTCATCCAGAAAAATTGATATTAAGATAGAAATGTTAACACAAATGCAACTTTAAATTCAAATTTTAATACTTTTTTAGATGACCCTATTGTGCCTCACAATAGTAATGCTTTGGATGTGTGGAAATCCATGAAATTTTTTAACTATAATTTATGTGAACTTGCCACGAAGTGGCTTTGCATTCCTGCCACTTCAGTTCCAGCAGAAAGATTATTTTCCAAAGCTGGAAATACTATCAACAAAAAGCGGAGTTCTTTAAAGCCAAAGAATGTACATAAACTTCTAGTTTTAAATTCATTATCAATTGAAGAACTGTAATTGAACTATACAAGTTGAAAATAAAATTAAGTTTTGTTTTTTTTTAAACTGTTTGAGTTTATCTTGATTGAACATCGATGTTCCAATGGGCGTCGATCAAACATCGATGTGAAATCCGACATGGAAATTTAGCATCGATGTTAAAATTATAGACATCGCACAGCACTAAGCGATAGTCACGCCGGTCATCTATCTGACGGGAAAACTACGACGTATAGGGTCAAAACCAGCACTAAAAAGTTGAAAACATGGTGACGATATCGCAAGAAATAATTGCCGGTTAGAATCGGTTGGGTTTTTTTGGTTACGGCAACGCATCCCAGGAAAGCTTTGGTGGGAAGCCGGACCCTATTTAGGCGAAGAAAACCCGGAAAACTCCACCATTAATTACCAGAGCTCGGCTACCGGAGGGCGCTTATTAGAATTAAGAAACGAAAAAGTAAAATATTTATAGATTTTGCACAGGGTAACGCGGGCAGATGCTACGGGCTACCTGTCGCGGTGATAATTAGAAAAAAAATTATATCCTTTTTTATAAGAATTATTTTCACTTTATATTTTAATTTTTTGCCAACAGATGGCGCTACGCGTAACCGAGGAAATGGAATATAGAGATTAATCGATATATAAAAATGGGGAAATGCACGACGTGGCGATTGGTCGAACGATCTATAAGGACAAGGATACGCCGGGCGCCAAAGGCGGGAAACTTCCATATACTAGGTTTTTCCAAGGCCAACGGGGCCCCATTTTTTGTTAGATTTAAATCGGGGTTTAAAATTTATTTTTAATAACATCGAAATCAAAGTCGAAATACATTTGTTTACGAAACGGTGTCGAATGACAAACTTTAACGACGAGCGCTTATCGATGTAAGGAAAAATATTAAAAATTTATGATGATAATTCAATTTTCACGGGCTCTCGACATTTGGGGGCCGGGACTTAAGCCCTATTAGTCCCTACGTAGATATACCGCATCGAAATCCCAAAGGGAAACGGTTTAATTATAAAATATTTTAATTAAACGAAGAGGAGCGGAAAGTGGTCCGCTTTTTCCTATTTCTATTCCTCGATTTATTCCCGACTAGGGCCCACCGGTGGCCCGGCGGTCTTCCTACCCCGAACACAAGGAGTTCGGGCGGGCCGACCACGCGGAGTTTTCCGGGTTTTCTCCACGTCCGTAACGCCTAAACGGGGGCCACTTTCCTTTAAAAGGCCTCCCGGAAGGCATCCCCCTAGGACCTAGGGAAATGGCCCGAGCGTCGCGTCGCTATACCTAAACAAACATATTGACAAGTAGAGGATTTCGTATTCGTATTCTCTAAATTATAGTAGTAGTAAGTGTGATACTTAACCCTCGATATAACAATACGGTACTTTTATAATCTAAGTACGAGTCGGGTCTCGAAGGGCTTTACTCGGCGCGTCCATTTTTTCCGACGGTGTTTTTCTTTCGCCGAATATAAGTAGCGTCCTGGCGTTTTTACGGTTTGTTTGCGAAAATTTAGTTTCGACTCGTAAAAGTATTTACACGACAACGAAAAAGTACATTTTCGTCATTGTCACGTTAAGAACCACATGGTCGAAGTTAAAATCCTTGCAAGAGGTAATAAAGAAATGGAAATAATAATTGTCGCCCATCAAAAATAGACGAAAACGTGCCGGTAATGCGAGAGACCGATACGTAAAAAGTACCCCACTAGGACGCGTACGAGTCGGCCACCGTTACGCATCATTACTGGATAACAAAAGAATATTAACGCCAACTAACCTTTTGTTAATTACGTCGTTGTCGATAGCCTCGGGTACCGAAGCCGCCAGAGGGATGGGAAAATTCCCAATTCGAAACGCGTGGTTAAGTGGGCGAACCGTTTCCATCTCGGATAATTAAGACGCGATGAACACCGGTAGTCTCGCTATTAGAAGCCTTTAGGCTGCGACTATGCAGACGCCAGCGAGCGAGAATATGTGGCGAGACGCGATAAATATCAAAACCTGTCAGATATGTGCGAGAACCAAAAATTCGCTCTCGCCAAGTGTTATTTCTCGCTTGTGGTTTGTGCAACTAAATCTCTCGGTCTAAATTCGCGTCTGCATAGTCGCACCCTTATAAAAAGTTACGAGTATTTTTAATTATTAACGAATGGCAAAAAGCTCGATTTCCAGGGTAGCGACGAGTTTTAGAAAAAACCGTAAATGTTAATAACGACTAAGTTGTAGCTCTCTTCGGATACGACGGGCGACGTCCCATTATAGAAAGAAATGTCTGGTTATTTACTTTCAGAATTTAAAAAAAGTAAGTAGGGTGCAGTTTGACCGGCGCCATCTTAGTTGAGGGTTAAAACTCATCATTTCCCTCGCGCACTTACGCAAAAAGTTAGAATATTCTAGTCGTTTGCATTACGCGACAGAAACGACACGGAGTAAAAGGAAAATGGCGGACGTCATTGAATTTTCGTCAAATACGGCTCGGCTACAGCCACTCCGCGTAGTATATTCTAGCCGGCCGTTCGTAAACGGAACCAAAACGAAAACCACGTTTCGGTTCCCTTTTCGGGCTTTAACGAGAAATAAAACGAAAGGCCGGCCCCGGACCGACGGAAGTAATTCTTCTTTTCAAACACGAAAATTGGCGGAGAGCGTAAGCGCCATCGTCTTTACCGTCGTTTAGGCCCGCCCGAGTTTTACCCTCGGACCAACGAAAAAATAAATGCGAAGAAGCCGATCGGGCGATAAAACGAAATCGCATTTCTGGCGGGTGAAGAACGGAGATTTATAGGAAAGGAAGAAAATTTGCGCGTGGCGACTTATAAACGGCCACCGATTCCCATTGTTTCCGATACTTTCCGAAGTTTATTTCGGTTTAGAAAAATTAATTAAATTAGCTTACGTTTACCGAGACATTCTTTAAGAAAACCATGGGGAAATGTGGGAAAGAAACCGCAATATTCTCCACGTATAGACGGATAAGCCGGCTTTTATCGTCGTCTCCGTCGGGATAAAGTTAAATTACCGCATCTCCCTCCGAGAAATTACGGCTTTTACTCCCGCCACGGTTCCTCGGGCCCGGGTCCCGGCGGGAGCGGGGGCGACGGACGGGTCGAAATATAAAAAAAATAGAGGTCGGGGTTAAAAATTATAATTATTTTTATTGGCAATTCTTTAAATAGTAAATTACAAAATCGGTGGCGGGTGGGGGACCGCCGGAAACTTTTTCTTTCCGCTCCGGGCCCGGTGGGGGGCGGCGGAGAAGAGCCGTTTCCGTCCGGCACTTTCCGTTTCCTGCAAAAAGAAACCAAAATTATTTTCTTTCTTTAACCGCGGGCGCCCTTCCGGGGCCCTTAGTCTCGAGTTTTTCGCCTCGAATTGGTAGTCTCGAATTATAACTCCCCTCTCGCCAGTTTCTCCTGGCTCGGGTGTGACGTGGCACGCTCGACTCCAAGCGAAAATGGGCGACGGACACGCGATTCCGACGGCGATGGAAGCGTTAGAAAGAGCCGAAAGGCGACGAATTTTTCCACCTTCGATCTTGGCCGAGAACATTTCGGTAGATTATTTAGGCTTTGGAAGGAGGTGGCATCGAATCTTACAAATACGTTTCGACCCACACCGAAAGAGCAGACTAGAAGACGGCCGTTAAGCGTTGGAACTAGAATAAGCTTAAACGATATTACAATATTGTTTTTGTCGGTTTTAATTTAAGACGCTGGTAAAAGGTCAACCCGGACACAGTTTCTTTCTGAGAAATAAATAAATATACCTTCCTGGAATAAAACGTCGTTACGAATCGTAGACTCGGTTAATTTTAGTAAAAGAATTAAAGCTTTTACAATTAAAGTTATATTAAGCGTATCGCGTAATAGTATTTTTTATTGCCAACGAATTACGGCTAGCATTTATAAGCCAGTTGGATGGCGTATTTTATTACCGTTCGTTAGCTATTGGCAGACCAGTCATTATCGCGCATAGTCGTGTTTCGAAAGCTACCGGGACTAATTTATTAAAGGATTGGGTTAGAATTCCATTCGATATAAAAGATGGCGCACCATGGAAACGGCAGTATACGAATTAACAACAACAACGTCGCAATATTGTTAATAGTAATAGGAAATTCTTCATTTTAGATTTTATGAAAAATAAATATCCTTTCTCCGGTTAATAGGGGCGATGGATGGTATCACCGCCCGTAGTGGGATATCGATTATCGGCGCGGGCCTACGTTAATAGAAACGGACGCGACTGGTAAATATTGCTTATGTAGCCATTAAAAAGTTACCTTTGATACGTATCGCGTTTTTATATCGAATTAATTAATAATTCGAATTACGCTACAAGCGTTACGAAATTAACTATAATTGGACTCGTACGCGCGATAGGGAATCGAACAACGTTTATCGCAAAATATCTTGCGAGAAAACGTCGGCCGATTTCTGCTGGCGGTACGTGCATCCGATATCGGTAGGCATTTAATTTGGCGCCGCACTCGTATAGAATTAATAGGGGAACCCGGGGCGGAATGGAAAAGAGGCGAGGGAATCGGTTCGCTTCCCGTCCTACGCTCGGATTGCGACGATCGGTTACCGAGATTCCCTTCGTCGTCGACCGATAAAACCCGGCGGGCTGATTTTTTGGCGAAATTACGCGCAACATTACGTATCGACGTTAAAACGACGAAAGTATACGGAGGCTTACTGGCAATCGATTGAGGGCTGGTGTTCGCGCGACGAGACTAATATTTGAGCGCTAATCCCATATCCCATTCTCCCCCGAGTGCGGGGCGGAACGGGATGTGGGCCAGCATTTCGTAGAAATTTATCGAGTTTTTACATCTAATTTAAATAATTATGTGCCAAATATAATAAATAAAAGATAGAATTTTAACTTCTTCGTTAGCTACGCCATTCCGCCCCGCCATTTCATTCCATACACTATTTTAGATGGGCGAGTAATCGGAGTAGAGAGAGAAAACCTGGAGATCGGTTCACGAGTAGCGGATGCGGATATTCGTAGGGTTCCTTTACGCGTAATTTGGGCTACTTTTTACGAAACCCATCCCACCACCCGCGTTTATTTATATAATTACTGTATTAATTAACGAAAATAACAATCTTCCGTTGGATTAATAGACGACACTCGGCCCGTCGTACGGATATCTCCAACTAACGAGAATCGTCGTCGGGACGGAACTTCGCCGGTAATTCGGTGGTCCCGGTGGGAATCGACCGGAACCGCGTCACTCACCCTTCAGAATTCGGAGCGGAAGTCGTCGTCGGCGGCGGGCCACAACCTCGGCAGATGGGGACCGCGGGAGTCCGGCCGACGACCGGAAGCGGCGCGGCCTCTCTCCCGGAACAGCGCCTCCTGCAAGAAAAGTTTGCGGTCACTTAGTCTTCCGTTAACTTCCGGCCAAAACCGATTTAAAGGGCGCCCCGCGCCGCCCGATGGCCATCTTCCGGCCGGGGACGGCCGGAAGATGGCGCCTAGTCCGAGCGGAAGAAGTTTCCGCCGGCAACCCGGAAGGGGCGAAAGCGGCCGAGAACTGGCGCGACCGGAAAGGCGGCGGTGGTTTTTAATAAACGGCCGGAATTAATCCGCCGTCTTCTTAACAAATACGGGCCCGGCGGCCGCCCTTGGTTCCGTAGTACTGGCGGACTTACGGCTCCCGCCGTCCGGGCTTTTTCTCTAATTATTTTACTATTTTACGGTCCTCCCGTTCCTTTCCCTACCATTTTTTATTTAAAATTCTTTACCGTTTACTTAATTTACAATGGGTTTACTGCCACTGGTCGAATTAATTTCGAAACGAAAGTAATATTAAAGAAAACCTTATTATTTCCTCTATGGAGATTAAATTAGCTACGTACTACTACGTTATTGACAATTTAACGGGTAAATAGATGGAAAAGCAATAAAGTAATAATATCCGGGTGACAAAACGAAGCCGTCTACGACGGAATGCCGAGGGTAGTAGAGGCGAGTTACCTACTACGCGTAATCGAATGACCACCCGCTACGACAAATTTTCGGTTTATAAAAAATATTTTAATTCGTTTGTAAAAAACTTCATTACGATAAAAATAAAATAAAAACTTACAGCCGCCTGTCTCGGTTACACTCAATGGACACACCGAGATTTGTCGTAAACGAACGCGGTAGGCGTATACTCTTTGTTTAGGGCGATATTGGTTAAAAACTAAAAGCGCGCGTAATACGAGACGTAATAAAGTTGAAAATAAGCTGGCAAACAGAGAATGCCATCTCACAGCGGGAATAATGCGTTAAATTTCCCAACTTATAATTACTTTAACACGGTAGGCGTATTTTGCTATTTCGTATCGGATGCGCGTGTGTTTTTTCATTTATACCCGTTAGGCTCGTACTCGTTAAATTTCTGTTAAATCGGATAACGATACCGATTTTTCCCTTTCCACCTCGGCCGTATTTACGATTTCTACCCATAATTCTACGGTAGCCCGCGTGGGTTATAACCACCTAGAATTTTATTCGTCGGGCAAAACGGAAACTACGTTAGATAATACGCCACCGGAAGTCGGGTCTATATTATAATCCGGGCGCGGTTAGCGGCGGTATAATCCTAAAACGAGTCGACGTCGGCCCGGAAACGGCCGGGGAAAGCGATATAACGGTAGAGCGACCGGAGAAAAAAGCGTTTTAAAGGAAGGAAACGGCTACCGGTCGGCGAATAACCATTACCAATACCGGAAGCGCCTAATATTCGAGGACGAAAGCCGATCGAACGGCAGCCTCCGGAGGAGGAACAATCGCCTTTACCGACGGAAATACGAAGGCGCCGGGACATTTTTACCAAGATAACGATGGGAGACAAATCTGATAAAGTTGGACGGTGGCTACCGTACTATCGCCCAAAAGCCACGTTTACGGAACCAACTAGATAAAAACACTCGAAGAGCGGCCCGGTATACGAACGGGCTAAACTTAAGGTAAATATCGATGACAAACGGACGGAAAGAAAAGGCCACCCCGCAACTTATCGAAATATTTACTACTACGTATAAGCGATTTTTTAATTCGCGATACGCATTATCCGTCACCGTAGGTATTTCGTGGTACAGGTAACCCCCGTATAACACGGCACTTCTATAGCACGGATTCACTCTGACACGGTTCGAGAATTGGGTACAACATGAAATGTAATAAATTTTTACATACTTAAGTAATAATAGTTGACGAAAATTATTATTTTCGTGAACTATTAGTACTTAAGTATGTAAATTTTTTTTCTCGCCTTCCGTCGATACACGCGGTCCTTCTCGAAACTCGTTTCAATGTTCCCAGATCTCGACGCTTATGCTTCTGATGTTGCCGAATGTTTTTCCCTTATTCCATACTCGCTTTATTCTTCGTAAGTGCTTAGCACCATTTAAGGAAATTTATAAAGACCTTTTAACTACAAGCGAGCGATCTAAAATCGCGTACTTTTTGCAAAAGGTAAAGCGTGGACCCGAAGATAATGCAGAAAAATGCTCGGAGGATAAGCCAAAAAAAAAAAAAAAAAAAAAAAAAACGCTCTTTGTTAATAGCGCTTTTAGTGATGACGAAGAAAACATTGTTTAATTTATATTAATATGTATCGCTTAAGAAAGTTTTAATTCTCCATTATTATCTTCTGGCATTCTCCATTAGTTTACCTGGGCCGCTTTAATAGCGGCTTCCAGCTTATCTCCCGATAATTCGGCAGTTCGTTCGGCTTCGATAATCCGGTTTATGAAGAAAAGCTTCGTACTCGTATCCTTGCCCAATTTACTCAAAAATTAAGACGGCGTAAGCGCAATTATTCCAGATATTACGGGTTCCGACGACTAAAAAATTTTCCCAGTCCTGCCACTAATCGACTATTGACGATCCGCCACTCGCCACAACGAATAAAAATTTTAAAAACTAATAAGCGGGTTTAAAATTAATAAATACAAATGTATTCCGGGTTTATTATACCTTCTACTTGCAACATTTCCTCCACCTTAACACGAAATAAGAAAAAAGTGAATGTTTAAGGAATTTGCGGGGATGAGAACTTCGTGGGTTAAAAAACAGCCGGACGGACCCGTTTGGAGAAACCCTAGTTCTCTCCCACCGTCGCCGACCGTTAGAAACCGGAACCGGAAGAATGATCTTAGCACGGGGTTTTTCACCATGGATTTTAAAACGATTCCGGTACGGACCGAAATTCCCATTCTACCGCCGACGATATTTCTTCTTCCGTTTTTAGTCGACGGACTTTCTCCGGCGGAAAGAAGACGGAAAAGACTCCGAAACGTTGGCGAGAAACTTCCGGTCTAGGCGCCCGAACGCGACTCGTAAGGGGTGGGCGAAGGGAGGAGGAGAGAACTCACGTTGCTGGACGTCCTGTATCTCTTCAGATTCTGCAGCGCCGCCAGTTGCCAGGGATCCAGCGTCACCTGCGGGAGAAAAAGGCCGTCAGAAAACGACCGGGCCCGTCTCCGCCGTCCGAAACTCACCTTGCTCTTTCCCGCCTTGACCTTGCCGGCCTCGGCCGGACCCTTGTGTCGGGCGGGAGCCGCGCTCTTCTCCACGATCCTGACGCCGCCCGACGACTTCTTGCCCGACTTGTCGCGCGAACACCGGTGGCAGCACCAAGTCTGCGCTCCCTCCTCGTCCACCCGCACCGAGTGGGCGTTGTCCAGACACTCCAGGTGGAAGGAATGGCCGCACCTGAGGGGAGGAGCCGGTCAGATCGAGAAGAGGAGAGGGCGGCGCCGTACACTTACTTGAAGAGCAGCACTTCCCGTCGACGGGAGGCGGAGAGGTAGTCCTTGTTGCACAGGTTGCAGACGTTGGGATGGGAGGAGTAGCGTCGGTTGGCCACCCGCCGCAGCTGCGACAGCTGGGCGTGCAGATCGTGGTACAGCAGGTTGTTGACGGTGGACAGCAGGGTCTGAGAAAGAGAAACCCGTTATTTCCCCGGAAGAGGCCCCCCCGCTAGCCGACGGTTCCCACCTTTTCGTAGTTGTAGGTGTCGAACATTCCCATGATCAGTTCCCGGATCTCGCAGAATTTGCCGGTGGCGTAGGCGGGGTCCTGCAACGGAAAAATCACCGGGTTACCGCGGGGAAATTACCATCCTCCGGGCGGAGGAGGAACCACCACCCACCTGGACGATTCTCTGTAGGATGGCGGGGAGTGTGACGTAACCCATCATATTGTTCAACAGGTCTTTGGTCAGTTCTTTCAGGGCTGAAACCAAACGGGGAGAAATTAGTTAATTCCGACGGGAAACTTTCTAGGCAAAACCCGGAAATTTCGCCGGCCCGCGAACGGAGGGTGGGGGATGGAACCCCACCTCCCACCCATTTCCGTAGCCGCGTTCCGGCAAGTTGCCATCCGTACGATAATTTCAGAAATAACCGTCGATTATCGAAAAAATTCAATCGGCCATTTTGTAAGTGTCTCGGCTAGACGGCCGCTAAATTTTCGCAACCTTTCGCTACGGCCTTCTCGACTAAGGCGTGTCTTTTGGTACTTATCGACACTGCAACTGCTTATAGTTTCAGACCGGTGGATAAAATGATCAAACTAATGCGCAAAGAAATACAAATAAACGCGCTTTGTCGAAATGCCATTACGCTCCTACTCGTACAGTACGTACGCGGAGTGGACTGTATGCTTTAAAACTTTAATGCGCGATGCGTCGACTGGTCGGTGCGTACCCCCCAACCGCCGGGATGGCTCGCGGCGGTCCGACACGATTTTGCCCTCGCCGTCTACTCCATTTATACTTACTCCACGGGTACAGTACGTACAGTACATTAATGCATTTTATTGCGTAGTAGTATCAGTCTAGAACCCAGCTTTTTAGATACGAGGCCGTCCGTAAGTTACGCCCGCATTTTTCTTAAAATTTTTACTCCCTCTCCCCCATTATCCCCGGACCGTCCGAGCTTCCGTAATCCCCTCCCCTCTACAAACGTCGGACGAAACGACTCCCTTCGAAATCTTTATATCTTGGCGAATAATAAAATGTATAAACTGTGAAATTTAACGAAATAAAAGGGACGTCTATCGAAGTTCGACCCCTCCCCTCTCCATCCTCCGACCGGTCGTAATCTCCTCCCTCCCTTCCGGCGCGGACGGCAACGTTTCTTACACCAAGATGCGGGGTGGACTAAAAATTTTAGAAAAACTAAGTTTACGCGTACGAAATAAGTACGGCATTGGGACGACGTCGGTTTCGCACCACGTATTAAATTAATTAAGAGGGAAAGTGGCGGAAGACAAAAAGGTGGAGATTTCGATATAGGCCAATCTAGTTAATATTTCTACGGACGGAGGGCGCGAGTGTAACGCTACGATAATTTTCTCCCGTCGGCGGTAAGAAAAGCGCGGCGCCACCCACCTTGTAAAAATTCGGCGTCGGCCTTTCCTCGGTGTCTCTGGGGGGCCACCACGGCCTCCAGCAGGGGGAACCACAGGGACTGCGAGAAGAAAAGAGGAGGATTAGTACCCGGCGGCTTTAACGGTAGGGAGGATATAGAGAAAAGCGCACTCCTCTGGCCTCTTGGTCCATCTGGCTGGAATTTCTCTGGCACAGCTGGACGATGACCAACAGCTCCGTGTTCAGCTTGCTCCAGGTCACGCACTTGCTCAGGCCGCCCTTCTCTTCCAACTCCCGCGTCACTTCTCCCACGCGTTTCCGCAGACTCTGCAATATTTGGCACAAAACTCCGTCAGTTCTTTCCGCTCCGTTTTATAGTCGGCGGAATAAATCCGGCAACAAACTTTTCCTTATTATAAAGGGGCCAAGAGTTTAATTTCGAAAGTTTTATAAAAATAAGCCATAAAATTGCAAAAAACGTTGACCGAAAGGGCTAACGTTCGCTGCGATTTCTCGACGGTGCCCAGTTCGAAAACGTAAAAGTCTCGAAGGTGGAAAGTAAAAGACGGCGTGGTCTTCTGTCTTCGATAAAAGTCGCGGTATTAATTAAATATTCATTTGGGCAAACGGCGTAATCCGATTTAAAATGTAGCTTATTGTTAGCGGGACACTACGGTTCTCTCTTCTCGTATTCCTATTAAAATCTTCCGACAAATTCTTGGAAAATTAGGGCCCTTTTACGGACAAAGTAGGATAGAAATTTTTAAAAACAATCTTCCGACGACGGTGGCAGTTTGTCCGGTCGCTACCGTCGAATCGCGACGAAAGGCAACGGGGATTCTTCTTGGTCCGCATCGTAATGCTTTTTCACGTTGGCCGATTTGGCTTAGAATATCTCCCGCCGTCCGCACGCTAGAAAAGCCAGTGGCAAAACGTGCACCAACTTCTCGCTTTTCGCCGATGGTAAGGATCGTTTTTTCTCCATTGCGCCAGAGACTCGAAGTACGGCGGTACGCGGTCAAATACGTACTCCACCGGCTTTCTCCCGCCGTTATTTGGGCCGCGACGAAATCCGTCGTTTCCCACCATATTTCACCCTCATTTTTGCTGGCGATTTATCCCAAATATTTTACTTTAAATCGTAGGCGGAGGGGCGGTTTAAAAGGGTTCGTCGGTTCCGTCGGCCTCCACCGGGTTCGACCGGACGGGGTAGTTTAGACGGAAAACGTCTTTTGGGGCGTGACAGCGGTCGGAGGTCGGTCCCGCATCCTAGTAACGATATATAAAAAGGCGCGGGGACGACGACGTAGGCGCGTAACCTCGGAGAAGTAACGTATATTATATCGTGGCCAACGCGGCCAAAACGTACTTTTCCGTAATCTTCGAAGAAGGAAGACCGAGATAAACGTTCGACTATTAAACCGGAAATTCCATTTCCACCGAAATGGTCGGTATTTTCCGCCCGGAAAGACCGAAAGAGGCCACCCCGCCTTTCGTATTTTTTATAGGCCGACACGCGGCCATTATTACGGCAAAAGTCCTTTATTCCGCTCGCCGACCGATTTTCGTAGAAAGGCGCCAAGACCCGAAAAAATAAATACGTAGCGCGGCCATCTTTGGCCCGGCCCGGCAACTAGGTCCGACGTTAAGTTATGGCGACGCGACACTCGGGCCATCCGCCTAGGGGGATACCTTCCGGGAGGTCTTTTTAAGGGAAACCGACCCCTATTTAGGCGTTACGGACGCGGAGAAAATCCGTCCGAGCCGGGCGCCCATCCCCGACCGAAATCCCGCCGTTCGGGGTACGAAGACCGCTGGTTAATTAAATAAAAAAGGCTCGGACCCGGCCCGTATTCCCCCACTCACCTCTAACATGATGTCGAAGGCTCCGTGAATGTCTCCGGCTTTTTCCAGGACGTAGGCGGTGGCGTCCATGACTTTATACCTCCGGCAGATCTAGGCGGGGTGTAAAGTTTCCGTTAAGTCTAACCCAGTGAAATATAAAATTATTATATTTCTTCTTAACAGCGCCTTACCTCGCCGACGATTCTCTATTAACCGTGACCAAAGTTTCCACCCGTTTTACGGGCCATGGCGGAATATCGATAACTTTTCTTTTTTGTATACGACGCTTAAAATACAAAATTGCGGCCATATAAGGCGTTGTCGTGGAAGTTAAGCGACATTCTAGCTGGGTATTAATTAAGTATTAAGATGGCCGGAGTATAGAAAACTGTCTCCGAAGATTGTAAGGGCGAGTTGCCAGTTGGATTTCTCGAATGGCATTTCTCCCACGTCGAGCGTTCGGGTGGAAGATTAAAAAGTCCATTCGATATACCAAAAATATGACCTATACAGCATTAAATAAGCTCCAAGATAAAAAATGAAACGCATTTTGGTGATCCAAATTAAACCCCCTTGCATCCCCGCTACGCCACCGAGTACTACGCAAGAGGTACGTAGATGATGTCTTCGTATTATGGAGAAACAAACATAAGATTCGACAGTTTTTGGATGAGGTCGACTCAAATAACGAGAGATTGAATCTTAAAATGAAACGAGTCCAACACACGTACATTTCTCGGACGTTGACGTCGTATGGAACGATGGATCTTTGAATACAAAGGTATGGGCCTATATTAAACCCACACTGTATATTCCTTCTCGGTCAAATGACCCCCACGTTTATAAACTATCGGCATTTAGGGCATTAATAAGGAGGTTATTGTTCTAACATATACGACGGGATAAAAGAGCTGGACGGAATTAAAAACGTTGCCGTATCCTTAAAATATAAAACTACTGTAATTGAAAAATTGATAAGTTATACAAAGAATAGAAAGAGAATGGTAACGAGAAAGAGCAAAATAATTAAGTTTAACTATAACAAGAGCAAGACCGGTGTTACGAGTGAAATAGCGGGCTACAAAGACTCCGAGTCGGTTTTCAAGAAAGTTTCCACCATTTATAGCCTTTTAAGGAATGATAAGGTTAAAAAAAGGAAAGCGGGCTGGAGTATACAGAATCTGATATAAAAATGAACAATTGGTTTGGAGAAAGAATAGATAAAGTTACAAACCTTAATAAACGTGTATAATATTAAAAAAGGGCAGTATCGTAGGCACTGTCTAGAATGGCGCAAAGCGCGGGATCAACGGTAGAATGGGAGGAAGGGAGCATTATAAAACCGGTACACTCGCCAACATTAGTGACGAATTTGGAAAAAGTCGAAATTTATACAAGTAACCTCTTGGGCAGATGTACTGTACAGTACGAACTATCGAATATAAGGATGCCACAGTATTACCCACAGCGTGGAAATATATGGCCGAAAAGAACTTATTAGAGAATAATGCGTAACCGTAATGAGGGGAAGACTTTTCCCCCCCTTATTACGGCCGTACATGGGAGCAAACGTCACCGAGTTCCGGAATTTGGCCCGCAAATTCTATTAATTTTCCACCCTCCGTTTACCTAACATTGGGGAAAGTAAAAGGAAAGAACGAGGAAATTTCTCTATACACCAGTATTGGCGTTTGCCGTTACAAGACAAACGTAAGGTAAAAAGAAAATCATCTGGACTACGTACTTCTAACGTTTCTTCTAATCTGTATCCCTCGGTACTTCGGACGTAGCCGTAGACCTGCTCCGGATTATACCGACACATCAACTCTATGTACTTTTCTTGCACGTTGGGATTTACTTCGAAATTATCCTTGATTCCCTGACTCGGAGAACTCTGCTGAAGCATCTCTCTGAAAAGAACGGATACAAAGAATAAAATAATAATAATAATTCTTCCCGTACTACAAATCCCGAATACAAATAATTTTGTACGGAGAAACGAACATACGGAAAACCGGCAACATTAATAAGAAAATATTACTCGTAAATTAACAAATTCCCATAAATTCCCACTGTCCTTCCTTAATCTCGAGAACGGAGTTAGACGGACGAAAGTCGCAAACCTCGGGGCCCCGATTAACTATTATATACGAACTTCCCACGCCAAGCGGAAGTCGATTCAAAAATTTGCGTTACATAGACTCTATTGTTAAAGGAAAAGTATGACGTACGGGGGCAAACCGCTACTAATTTGAGGCGGAAAGTATATATTTTAAATTAATTATAAATTGCGGCCCGGCATTCCCACGACGTCCCAATAATTCGTTTTGTTTATTTAGAATACTTGAAAAGTTAAAATTTAAATGAAATGTTCTATTTGTGGAACATTTTCTAAAATCGCATTTAAAAACATAACTCTCTTAGCAAATTCACGGTGTCGTCGTAAGTTTGTAATTTGTCTCTGCCGAGTACTTCCGGATTGTATTTAATATATACGCTCTCCGTCTCAAATTAGTAGCGTACGTCAAATATTTGCTGTTAATGCCGGTCAATTAACTCCTTTCGGGAGATATTTTTTAACCGACCTCCGGTTTAAATCGGAATTTCGTATATACTTAATCGGGGCCTCCCGCTCCTGTCTATCTAATTCCGCGGATAAGGCGCAACCCAAAGATTATTTTTGAAACTTCTCGACTCGGCACGTTCGTAATTTTATCACCGAGTTCCGTCGAGATTGCTAATAAAATCAAAATCGAGAACAAAAAATGTGAAGCGGAAAAAAAGAGAGAATATCGGAAGGAATAAAAAGAGGAGGAGCGTGGAGGTGGCGAAGATCGACTGGGAGTTCGAGCCACGTTATCGACGTAAGACTCCGACACCGTACCAAATGCTTAGAAACGGCTCTGGTACGGGGCGTATCGTTAATTACGGCTTTAGTTTTCCCTTTTTGTGGTCATAAAAAAGTAAGACACACACAAAACTAAGCCGCGGTTATCGGGGGTAAATAATTAGTAGGGCGATTTTTGTCCATGTATTGTTACAGATTTCTTTTTGCCACGTTAAAGCGCAGTTCTTTTCCACATAGTTTGTAAATGCGCGTATTGGGAAGACGGAATGCATTAAGAATTTTTTACGGTAGAGGACCGGTATCGACTGTTCCAACAGAACGACGCGCAAACAGATTTAGCCGGCCCGTCTATCCAGGCGGTTTTTCAGTCAATAGCCGCGGAGCTTTCGGTGTATTAGTCGGAGTCGGAGTGGTCGAAAATCCCCCCCCGACTCCGACTCCTTTTTACTATCCCAACTCGTTACGTATATAAAAAACGAAAAAGTATTTGTCACATTTGACCCTCCGGGTTTCTTGCCAATCTATACGTTTGGAGGTCTTTCCAACCCAAAAAATGTCAAATAAAGGGAAAAAGTCGCTTCTAATTTGTTTAATTTCTCTATTCTGTTCCGAAATGTTAAACAATATCTTGGAACGAGTAAAGTTTAAGAAACAAAATTTGGCACAGTAGAGCGCGTATAAAGGGCATTAATGCTATTAAATTTTGGTTCTTAATTAAAGGTGGACGGAGGGGGTCGTGCGCCGTATCTCCAGCGCTGTCGGACTTAATATTTTACTCGTAGTTATCATTCACATTCTTATAATATAATCGAGATGAGTTAATAATAATAATAAACTCGGAGTTCAAACGGTTAGGAGTTGAAGTTTGGTACGAAGTTAGAATATGTCGTAAGAATGTATACTAACTGTAAGACCCAACAAAAAATTCTCTAAGATCGGCTAGAATCTAATAATCTTTGCCCGAGCAACATCTGGCACGTCCGCTATTCTAATATCGTCTTCAAATTTTGTGAGATTTACTTCGAGTTTGGACGTTAAATGGGCAATACCGCACTATCCAGACATTATCCTAGATACGTCATCGACCGAGTTTCGGCAGAGCTCTTAAAATTATTAAGTACGATTTAAGAGTTTCGGCCAATGCCGACTTAATACAAGCGATTTTTTGTAAGGAGTAATTCGGTTTGTAAGAGACGAAAAATAATAATCAACCTTTTTCTTTACCGGTGTAGATGTTATATTTGTCATTCTTTATCCAATATACTCGTATATTACGTACAACATTCGTTGGCGTACGAATGTATTTACTATTATTATTCTTACACGCTTACCAAATAGCATGGCCATGGTCAAACCAGTCGATAATGTCAATTTATATATTCGGTAGATGCGTCAAATTTCCACGTTTAATTAGTTTTTCTTAAATCGTTTTATTTCGTATTTTTAAAAAATAATCGGAATCGTCGTCATTATTACCTTCCCGGCAGTTATACAGAACTAGCGGGTAGGCCCGGCGTTGCTGGGGCAAAAGCGACGATAGCGAAGATTAAGATTATTACGTTATAGTCGACCTTACCCGTTTTCGCAGAACGCGACAATCGGGTCCCCCTGTTTCCAGACTAATTACAGAATTTTTTGACGGGTTTAAAATTATGTTCGACTTGTCGCAAAACGAAAAAAAACAGCATCTGCGCGTCGCTTTCTCTTAGCAATTCCATCGTTAGGTAACGCGTAGATTTTAAATGATATTGTAGAGACTATTCCTGAGAATAATATTATATTGTATGCAGATGATATTGTTATAACATATGCAGATTGGAATATTCATTTGGTTGAAAATAATATAAACTCTTTGTTATCTAAATTAAGTAAGTACATGGAAAATAATAACTTAAGAGTAAATGAAAATAAAACAAATTATATTTGTTTATCAAATAAAAACAAAAAAGTGAATTTAGAAGATATACAAGTAAGAATAAATAATGAACGTATTCAAAGAGTTAATACTGTAAAATATTTAGGAATCGAAATTGATAAGTTACGATGGAACAATCATATAAATAATTTAACACTGTCTTTATCTAGATATATTGGAATACTGAAAAGAATAATGAGTTTTTTAAATTGTGAGACTGTTTTGCGCTTGTATCACGCTTGCATGGAACCTAAACTTCGATATGGTATTTCTGTATGGGGTACAGCTTCTTCTTTTGTATTGAATAGATTGCAAGTTATACAAAATAACTTTATAAGAGCATTATATAAGTTGCCTTATGATTCCTCTGTCACTTCTTTTTATAACCAGATCAAAATTGATAAAATAAAAACTTTATATAAAAAACAAGTTCTTTTGGAAGGTTTTAAACTAATAAAGGTGAGCAAGAAAAAATCTTATATAAGCGAAGAATTAAATAAATATTTTAGGCCTTCTAATTACAACTACCGATGGAGAAATAACTTGCTTTTACCAAAGGTTAAGCATAGTTTTGGAAGAGATGCACCAATTTATCAACTTATATATAGTTGGAATGCCTTAAAAGAAGAATATAAAGAATTGTGTACTTACGGACAATTTAAACGGGCTGTGAAAAAATTGATATGTGATTAGTTGAGTGTATTTTTTTTTGTTTTGATGTTATTGTATTTTTCTTTTCTGTTCTTTTTTGTTGTTTTGTTGATTGTATACTTGGTAAAAGTCTGTATCATTAATTTTTCTTTTGACCCTTGAAAAAGGCCAATGGCCATAGGGTCGTATGATTAAATAAATAAATAAAAAATAAAAATTGTTGACACTTCCATTGTCGAAACCTTAATCTCCTTTCTCCCCCGGGAGAATTTCGAAAAATCCCTTCTTAGCGCGCATTCTCGTGACGTACCCTAACTGCCAACCAAACTTCAACTTTCGACTCCTAACCGTTTGGGCTCTGCGCTTATTATCATCAACAAATCGTCTCGATTATATATATAGATAGGCCCGTAACAAAGGAAAAGAACGACTTTCCCAGATCTTTACTCTTTCGGACCGGGGAAGCCCGGAAACGTAGAGAAGCGCGAAAGCATTCGGGTTTTTTCCGTACGCGCGGACGTTAGAATGCGTACCAACCCATTTCGAAGCTTAATAACTCCCGCGTTAGACCGTCCGATTCCGATTGGAAATGGCGCCTCCCGCGCAGTCCGACATTCGTACGTACAGAAAAAAAAAAATCCGAATCTTTTGCCTATCTCGACATTTCCAGGCGTCCGAGTGCAAAAATCCGGAGTGGGATCGTTTTTTGACCGACGGCTACACTTTTTCTCCGTTAGCCTATATATAACGGCCGAAAAAGTAAAAAATATCGAATACGTATTTATATATCGACTACGTCCATTACTTAGAGGAGTATTTTAGCTTTGGAATAAAAGTCTTTATTACAACTATTTATCCAAGCTTATATTCCCAGGTGGCGCGACGACGTCGTAATTTTCGGGCCCACTTTGTTAACGACTCCGCCCCCGTGGGAGTGGCTCCGCAGCCCCGGCTAATAGACAAGCTCCGTACAAATGGACGCGTTTTCCGAAAAAAATGTATTTGACAAATGCTCCGGCCTCTTTCGTCGGCACAAAAACAGTTGGTTTTATTTTCGTGTTTGTGGGTGGCCACCGAAGCCCGAAAACGTTGGCGAAATAAATTCGTTTTCCCGACGGAGCAAACTTTTTTCTCTTTATAAAAGAAAGAAATTCGTTATTTAAGTTAAGAAATTCGTTATTTAAACATATCGCGTAAGAAATTATTCCGATGTAAAATTAAGATTAAAAATATTGAAAATAATCACCTTTTATTAAATAAGCCTTGGAGTAATTGGTACAATATAAACGGTCGTGCCTGAAAGAAAAAAAAATAGTTATTGTAAGAAAGAGAAATCGCTCGAACCACAAATAATAATACATTAAAAATGTTTGAAATATTTCGATTCGAAGAATTTATTTACGAACAAATATCGTAAGAACACATTAAGTATAAGCTATGGAATCCCCGTCAAACATTAAATAAATAAAAACAATTAAAACCCAAGCGGAAATTCGGAACATCCGTTGCCGGTAGAAGAAAGTCTGGCAAAAAATATCCGGAAAAAGGTTGGGGCGCAATTAATCGATAATAAAGAGGGGAACGCGTTACTATTAAAATAAAGATTTGTACGGAGTGAAGTCGGTTTTTACGGCACCTTTCCAGTGTCGACCAGCATGGCTAACGGTTTCGTCTTAAAAATTGTAAAAGTCGGTATCGAAAGATTTACATTTTGTTCTTATAAAATGTGGATTATTATTTTGATACGATCAATTCGGAAAGTAATGCTAATTACTCACTTTTCTACGCACTTTTGGGACCCACTAAATTTTAATCGTTTCCTTATCCGTAAAGCCAGATTTGGCTCTTCGTACAATTTGCGGATTACTGTTACTTTAAAACATCGAACGTCGTCGGAGATAGAGTGACGACAAAATTAAAACCATCTAATCGTAGTACATAAATATATAAGTTTATACTTCCGAATTCTAAAAAATACAATTTCCAGGAAATAAATAAGGAACGTCATTAGTTAATACGGTTTCTTTTTCGCCATTTCGAACGTATCTTAATTCCGAAAACGCCACCAAAACTTTCGCATTAACATTTATATAATTATAATTTCGACGTTAAATGATTTAAATACGTTTCTATTATATTTTCTATATTTTCGTTTAACGTTAACGCTTAATGTTCGAACAATAATACGGCCGGAAAGCAATTTGGCCAAACCACGGGCGGTTAAAGCCGCGGTTTTACCTTACTATTAACCATCTATAAATATAAAAATTAATTCTCCTCCGTTTGTCCTTTATACTTTTTATTCCCGCGCCCATCCGGATCGAAGTTCGTACGAGTATAACCTCCACCCTAGAATCGACGCCGAGATATACCCATTTTGGGGCGGTACGGTATATACGTTGCCGCCAAAGACCGAAATTAGACAATGTCGACGAGCGCGGATACGTTCTGGTGCGGTCGAAAAGATAAGCCGAGAAGACGGACGATCGTTTGTTCTCCGTCTGCCGCAATTGAGATCGCCTGACACCTACTCGTTATACAGTACTCTCCAACACTTCGCCGTTTGTCAGTTTTATGCCAGGTTTGCTTAATTTTTATCCGATACCCTAATTTATATCGAATGGCTACTGCCGTAAACCGTGATCCTTTTTCTGAAAAGTTTCGCGCATTAATTGCCAGTAAACGAGAAGACAATTGTTTTTATTCTTCTCGAGAAAAATACTTCAAAATACTTTCTGAAGTGATTCCCGCTAAAACTGAGTGCGCTACACCTTTGGATTACAGACGATTAAAACGTTTCGACGTTTTAAAAATTAACGAGGAAGAGAAGTTAATTGTGCCGTTAAAACCAGGCGGAACGAATATACAGTATACCAATAATGAACTATTCGAAACTCGCGTCAGAATAGGCCCAGGTAAAAGAACACTTATGCTTAAAGAACTGCGAGTTAAATACAAAAATATTATGTATGAAGTTGCGATGTTGTATTTAAACTTATGTAAACAAATGCAAACGAAACATAGCGCACCCAAAAAACGTATTGTTGCGAAAGCGATAGTCAGTTCGGAGTTAAACTCGAGTCGATCCGATAGACCCGCGGTCACGCGGGAATAGCGATTACCAGTTCGTAATGGTATATGAAGACCATTTAACGAAGTTTGTCCACATACGACCTTTAAAAATTAAGACAGCCGAAGAAGTAGCGTATCCCATTCTTCAAATATTTTTAACGTTCGGTGCCCCAGCTGTATCGCATCGAGATAATGGTAGGGAATTCGGTAACCGAGTCACATCCGAACTATTCGCTACGTGGAAAGACGTTAAGATAGTTTACCGAAAGTCTCGTCGTAGTCAAACACGAGGCTGGGTCGAAAGGGCCAATCGGGATATACAGAATATGTTAACTGCGCGGAGGAACGATAAAACGATACAAATAGATGGTCGGATGGCTCGCCCTTCGCTCAATTTGCCAAGAACACAATATACCACGAAGGAATACGCCAAAGTCCTTACGAAACCCCGTTCGGCGTTAAACCGAAAAGAGGCGCGGCGTCGTCTTCTTCACCGGCCAGCAAATGGCAAATATTGAAACCGAAGAACGGCTCGAAGACACCGTTAACACTTTTGAAAAAAATCTGAGCAGCGACCGTATCGAAAACCTTATTCCAAAGGAAAATATTAAAGGGAAGCCGCGACCTACCGTCTTCGTATCGAGCCCCGACTGAACAACACGAGTTTATTTCTATAAAAAGAGAGGCCGCGAAAGAGAATCTTCTACTGCAAGCGACGAAAATGTTCCGAACCTCAAAAAGAAAATTCCCTCCCGCTGAAACTGGTGATACCGTGGTCGTACAGATGCCCGAATGTGTTGGCGGTCGTTGTTGGAATAGAAGACGACGACTTTTATAAACTAGCAAACAAAAGTGGTCCTCTCGAGCAGCTTTATACCCGTAATCGGTTGGTAATTTGTAAAGAAAAGTCACTTTCCATAGACGAGATTTCTTCTGGAGAAATGTCGCCGAGAGAAGCGGAGGGCGAGGCTATACACTATTATTTGGTATTATTTTTTTTTCCGATTAAGAATGTACAGTTTATTTACACGCGACGTTACTTAAACTTTCTCCTATTTTGACACGCATCATATATCAAAAAGTTGCATTTTTGTCTTACCGTAATAAAAATATTTTTATTTAACATTCACCATCAGTACGTGCCAAAACGTGACAAATGTTTTTTTTAAATAATTAAACTTAGGGAAAAAAATATAATTTATAAAAAAACGTGGGAGGGGCTCCGCAGCCCCGGCTAATAGACAAGCTCCGTACAAATCGACGCGTTTTCCGAAAAAAATGTATTTGACAAATGCTCCGGCCTCTTTCGTCGGCACAAAAACAGTTGGTTTTATTTTCGTGTTTGTGGGTGGCCACCGAAGCCCGAAAACGTTGGCGAAATAAATTCGTTTTCCCGACGGAGCAAACTTTTTTCTCTTTATAAAAGAAAGAAATTCGTTATTTAAGTTAAGAAATTCGTTATTTAAACATATCGCGTAAGAAATTATTCCGATGTAAAATTAAGATTAAAAATATTGAAAATAATCACCTTTTATTAAATAAGCCTTGGAGTAATTGGTACAATATAAACGGTCGTGCCTGAANTATAATAGCAAAGGTAGAGAGTGGGCAGAAGATGCCTAATGTTGCTGGGCAGTATGGCGTAAACGGGTCTACAGTAGGGTGCAGTTCAATTTTTTCTAAGAAAGGTACTGTATAATAAAGAAAACTCAAGCAGCTAAAGGAGGAACAAAAATCACATCTGAGAAATAAAGAATATCGAACAGTTCATAATGGAACACGAAATGGATCTGACGACAGAAGAACGCCAAGAACTCTTGAATGAAGAACACCAAGAAACTCGGCGAGATATGTTTTCTTCCGAAAAAGAGGATTAATGCCGATATCTTATATTAAAGATCCTTTGAAGAAGTGGGAGGATGTCAGAACAACAGTCTTAGAATGGCATCCAAACCAGGTTAAGGCTTGGGGATTTCTGCAATTGCAATGCTATTAATTACTTACGAAAAATCCTGAAGAAGGGAGAAAAGCAATCGACATTAGACAGATTCTTTAACCCTTTCAAACAGAAAAAAAACACGACTAATAAAAACGCAAGACTATGTATGTATTTTTATTATCATCAATACATATAAATAAAGATAGTAAGAAAGTATATATTTTTTATTTTGGGGGGTCTCCGGAACCAATTAATCAAATTCCCATAGAAACCTATGGTAAATCGATAATCGGTTAACGAACAATTCGGATAGCGAACAAAGTCTTGGAACGAATTATGTTCGTTAACCGATCACCCACTGTATTATATTCGCTTAATTACTGCGACGACGACGTATGCCGAAACATTATTAGAAAATTGAGAAACGAAAATATCCGAGTCGTTATCGATGGAAAACAAATACTCGCGCAGTTTTGGCGGCGTAACACTATACCCGGGTCTTACCCGACCTTTTTATAAACTCCGTCGACGGCCGGGGAGAAGTTAATCCACGCGATACGGGAATCGTTCATCACTCTCCTCCGCTTTCGAAATGATCCGATAGAAGCGCTATATCGCTGCTGCGAAAACTAAGTAATATAGGCTATATTCTATATAATATACCGTATATATGCGCAGGTAAGACGAGGTATAAATTTTAGTCCGAGTTTTATAGTTATGTCTGTCCTATAAGACGACCCCGGATTTTCGGGCTTTTTTTACGATTCGAATATCGTCTTATCCGCGCAAATATACGGTAAATTTATTATACGTTATACCGCCAATAGTAAGTTATCGAAGTCGAACCGTTACGTCTAAGGATCGGGATATTTTTCTTTTTCGACGGTATTTTCGTAATAATTTTTTAAATTTTCTCTCGTAATCCCGGGAACGTAAGTTAATTAGAAATAAACTCGGATTAAATTAAGTAATTTAGAAATTTCCGGAAGAACCGGATTACGATTACGGTACTCGTGTCGTATTTAAAATACGACACAGCAACAACAATAATTGATACGCCTTTACATTTTATTAAAGAGACAATTTTTGAAATTTGATTTATTTTTAATTCAAAAATAATTATATCGCTATTGACCTTTTTCGTCTCGCCCGCTTTGTAATTTATTCCCATTTCGTATCGGTGACAATTTATCGAGAAATAAATGGTATTTTCCGAGAAAGCCTTCGGAAACCGAACTAAATTATCGCTTTATTTATTTTACCAATAGTAAATAATGTTATTCTTACGTCTAATTTGTCCACAATTTCGTGCAACCTGTGGGGAAAAAATTCGGTCAGCATCTCGGATATCTTCTTGTTGTCGATGTCGATTATCTCCTAAAAATAATTAAGAGAATTTTGTTAAAAAAGAATCTTAACCTTCGATTTCCACGCCTTTTTGTCCGATAGTTTCTAAATTAATAAAATTTTCCTTTCCGCCATTCCGACCGTTCGTTTCGGCAAATGCGCGCGACGATTAAAAATATGACGCTTGTTCGACTGGGTCGGGAATGGCCAAACTGCCCCACAAACCAAGTAAAATATAATTATTTATACGGAAATATCGGATATTGTACAAAAATTAAAATAAGTGTAAGTAAAAATGCCAAAATTCGTTCCATCTAATTTCTGAATCCTTCGGTAACATAATTTTTCGGGAAAATCGGCCACTTTGGATATCGGAGCGCTTTTTGCCTAAGTTTCTAAGAAAAGCCATTACCGACTCGCCCGCGGCCGTCGCCTACGTCTATCGGTAAATAAATACGTCGGCTGCCTTTATTTTTTTTGTGTATTCGGTGTACCGGTCACTCTCGCGGCTATCCGTCCCGCTGCGTAAAAAGGTTGGTGATCCCCGGACTAAGTCCTACCGTAATTTCAATTTATAATCTACGCCATCATTAAGATTTTCATAATTAATTAATTAATAAATATACTGAATGTATAATAGTTTATCGATTCGTTACGCTCGCTCTTATTTTAATAGTAAAGTGTTCCTTCCCGTCAATGTATTTATTTATTCGTACGTGACGTATTTTATAATAGAATATTTTTCTCTGTTTAAAATGTCGACGACTATCCAAATTTGTCTAAAACCGAATTAATTAATTAATGTAAGCGCAATTATCTAACTTTTTATATTTTAAGTTATCACTTTTCAAATTTTGTAAATTTTGAAAATTATACTCTAAAATAATTCATTGGGTATACATGGTGTGTTCAAAAAGTATCGGACCTTTGGTCGGCAAAAATAAATTTATTAACTTTGAGGTACAAAACCCTAATCCCCTTCAAAGTAGTCTCCTTGGTAATGTATACACTTCTCCCAGTGTTCCTGCCATTGCGGGAAACACTGCTGGAACGCATCTTTTGGAATGGACATCAGCCGGTTCGTCGGATTCCGCACGATGCCTTCTCTCGACTAAATTCGGGTTCCTTTTAGCGGCATTTTCAGCTTGGGAAATAGCCAAAAGTCACACGGAGCCATGCGGGGAGAGTACGGAGCGTGACGAACCACAGGAGTATTGTGTTTGGCCACGAAAGCTCGAATCAGATGCGCAGAATGGGCGGATGCGTTATCACGATGGAGCTGCCAAGGTTTGATCGACCACAGATCCGGTCGTTGCGTCGCACTGTATCGGAAAGACGACGAAGGACCTCCTGGTAGTACTCCTTCGCCATGGTTTGTCCTCGTGGTGCGTACTCACGACACACCATCCCACGAGAGTCGAAAAAACTGTCAACACGACCTTTGATATTGCTGCGGACCTGCCGCTCTTTTTTTGGCCTCGAGGATCGTCCCCGAAAGCCTGCTGAATCTTGCGAATGGTTTACGCTCGGGTATCGCCAAGGTTTTGGGCAAAATTTGATGTAATATCGCTGCTCACGTTGTTCAGTCATTTTCCAGCTTAGTGGAATCCGACGAGAGCGCGCTACATGACCTCACTCGTAGGCCGATTGCCAACGACTGACGCTTCCTGCAGGCGGAAAAAAATTCAGGGCTGTGCACGACTGTCCCCTCCACAACTCCACCGAAGGAGGCCTCTCGCGCATCATTGGTTTATGCGGAAAAAAAAGGTCCGATACTTTTTGAACAGACCTCGTATTCCGGCTAACGGAACCGAAGACCGATCCCAATTCGTTTATAACGCGCCGTTAACCGGCAAAAAAAGATAAACAAATACCTCGATACTGGCGATAATCTGAGTTTCCAAAGACTGCTTTTGTTCCAAAGTATACTGTTGGCTTTCCAAGATTTGCCAAGCGTAATAGAAAACTTGAGGCTGTACAAAAATAATTTCATGATTATTAAAGGTAAAGCAAAAAAATATAAATTAATATTCTGATACAATTTTTCTAGTTTTGTGCGTCAATTCATTTAGAAATGTGACGAAATTACGTGAAAAAAATACGTAAAACGAAAGATATTGTGTTAGGTATATTTGGCGATCCATTCTACCGAGTACGAAATTTCAACATTTCCATCTGTTTTAAAAGGTAATTATTTGTCGTCCGTGCTTTTTAATACGGAAACAATTGTATTTTAAACGCGTTATACGCTGTTCGACGACTAACGGAAATTTTTTCATTTCAATAATGCATTACTCATTTTTCCTAAAACTATTTAACTGTCTCTACTATATATTCAATATACGTCGCACAAACTTTGAAAATTTTAATTCCTAAACAGCTAAGAACTGCTCTCGTTTTATATACGGTATATATTAACGTATACGACTTTATACGCATTATAGATTACCGAACGGTATTTTTCCGACTTAATGAGATTACTTTTCTATCTTCGACGACTCGTATTTTCGCTCAATCTTCGAGATATTGAATAACGTCTGTTCCGAAACTATTAAATGATAGATACGCAAATATGCACCGAAAATGAGAAAACTATCTTAGAATGTTTCAAAATTATACAGAATTTACAAATTATCGATACCAAATAATTACTAATTACTGTATTCTAAAGCACATATAGGCCTATATACATATACATCCAAATGTCGATTCGGTTCAATTGATATATTCTTAAGTGGCCACACATTACCTTTTATACAATTATTACTTATGTTTTAAAGAAACTAATCGACTTTATGACTAACAAAGTAACTTTAAAGTATTCCGTCGAATGCCTTTTAATTCGATTAGCAGTTGCGCGTGCATTCGCGAAATATTTTCCAGTGGAGAAGCTCGGAGATAATTACGTCGATACACCTACCCGCACCGTCGCGGCGGCGGTCGCGACCGTTCGCTTCGGTTGTTAGGTTAGATTAACTATATTTTAGTAGACGTTTCCTTTTTTTCTTTTGTTCGGGAACTATCCCGAGTCGCTAGTTATCGGTGGCCCGCCGGCGGCTTCCCTCCGGGAGGAGTCCGTCGGGACGGTGCGCGTAAGTAAAAATGGATTAATCTTTACCTATTTAATTATTTGGGATTTTTTAAGACGGACAAACAGTCCCGTGGTCGACGACGCGAGGTTACCTCTCTCGGCAACTTTAAAGATTATAATTTGTGGAACATTTTACTCTAGCGTTACCACCCGGAAGTCCGGAAATTGACTTACTGGGTGAACTATTGATTTTTTCCGGGAACTCTGACGTCATCGCAATACCGCAAACACGGAAATATTTTGTAAACGCGCACAGAATTTAATGCTGTTATTTATTATCGTGCCACGTAAAAGGTTAGATCGTCGAAAGCCTTTCATTTATTTTTACGCGTCACGACACGTATCGAACATCTTTTTGAATGTTTGGAATTCTATTTTGAACGTAACGGTATTCTCCGTCCAACGATAAAACTCTTGTTTTGGTTTATTTCCCGAGGAGCTTTACAGTTATTTGCTGGAAATCGCATATGGGCGTTAGTTTCACTGTCACACAGTTGGCCGTTATTTATGTCTTAAATATCATGAAAAAGAAATGAAATATTACTCATTAGATTATTTGTACCGAACTATAAAACCTAATAACATATTTCACAACTAAAAATAATACATTTTTTTAATATACAGTAGAACCTCCATTATCCGGACCTCCATTATCCGGATTTTCGATTATCCGGATTGTTCAAAATAAACAAAAATTTTACGAATTTGCTGATTTGCACTTGGCGAATTACGATACTGTTTATGTACGTGATGGAGTGCATAACATTTTTTGTTTCAACAACGTCTCACCAGGCACAGTGGCCGTAAACTCTTAAATATATTTTACGTAGTAATAAAAATATAACTTGACATACGTATTTATAAATAATTTATATTCAAATTACATCATTTTTATGACCAAGGGCGGCATAAGGCATGGACGACGTGGGCCACAGCCTGTGCCTCGCGGTCCGAAGGGCCTCGCCTCGAAGGTTTATGCATTACTTAAAAGCCACGAACGCGACGAAAAAATTTTACTCGTCATGAAACAATAAATAGTTTGTCAAATTTTTATTCATAAAAATGCAGTTTCAACTGCTTTTTATTTTATAAAATCCATCTTCTTGCGCCACCAGAGGGCTTTTTAAACAATAGGTAGTCTGTTAGCGTTGGTCAGTAGTAGTCCAAATTCAATACGAACGTCTGTTTCTTGAAAATTTGATCACGATTTAAATACATTATTTACTTTTAATATTACTGATATGTCATCGAAAAGAAAACGTGTTGTATTATCATTAAAAGACAAATTAAAGTATTTGTTTCGATTATCCGGATTTTTCCTTATCCGGACTACCTTCATCCCCAATTAGTCCGGATAATCGAGGTTCTACTGTAATTTTAAAAAACTATTAACTATTTTTTCTAAACTATATTTAATTGTATTACAAACCTTTCTCGAAGGATCTTGTAAGTAACAAGTTAAAATCTTATCAAACTGCTGTTTTTGTTGATACAAATATTCACAAACACGATAACTGCAATAAAAACAAATCGATAAATTATACTTCTTCCACTGCCGCGTAACATCGGCAATAATAATTCGAAATTACTAATAAATGCGACCCTACGGGAAGGTTATTGCGGGTTCCGGTCCCGCTCCGGGCCGATTCTTTTCTTCCGGTTTAATTTAAAATTATTTAATTCAGTTATAACGAGACGGCGCCTAACGGCTCTCTCTAGGATCAAATTTCGATTCAAAATGTAATCGCGATATTAAAAATGCATTTAGAAAAGTCTACGGTGTTTCCCGGCTTATGGAACAAACGAATGCGACCGTCGCCGACGCACGATTAAACGATTGCCCCCGGAAGTCGGCTTCTTACAAAACGCGGCTTCCCTATCGTCAAATGTCACGGCACGTCACCAATATTTTCAAAGCCAAAAAACCGTCGGATGTTAACTACGATACGTATAAACGTAAAAAAATCAAAGTAAATACGCGTCCATATATAAAACAAGACTATATAAATTTATCAAATTATATGTCTGTGTGTCCTCGTCTTCCGTTTAGTATTTAATTTGTCTACGAGGACCTAATTTTATTACTAAGACTTATTATATTGGTGACCGTTCCGCAATTTTTAGAAAACATCAAAAAAATAAAAAATAAAGTTTAAAATGTGTGAAAAATATAGTCCTAGTAATAAAATTAGGTCCTCGTAGATAAAGTAAGTATTAATAAATTTAATTTGAAAAATAAAATTGTTTAGTACGTTTTAACTCATTTTTCATTAATAAAAACCATTTACTTTATCAATAAGTAGCGCACGAGCCCGGCGTTGCTGGGACAAAAAGTAACGATAGCCCATCTTACCCGTTTTTACCGGGTCCCTCTTCCGAGGCTAATTAGAAAATTTTTACACGTAAAATTAAATGAAAATTTAAAAAATGAAATAACTAAGCCGATGATTCTCAAACTTTTTTCGTCACGGTACACTTTTAATAATTTAAAAATTTGGCGGCACGCGAGGTTACTTCGGGACAACCGGTGACGTCGTAACAGTAATTTTTAAACGCAGAAGTCACATTTTCTAAACGTCTTAGTAACTACTGGCAGTTACTGGTAACCAACGTTGCCACGTCTACCGATCGAAGCACCAGATCTACCGAAAAGTTTACTGTAATTCGAAAAAGAAATTTTTATTTTCAACGTATCTAAAAATTCTCAATAAAAACATTTCTTTCTACCTTCGTTTCTTATATATTGTAAGAAACTTTATTGTCTCGTTTCTGCCCCATTCCTCGGCTAACGTAGAAAGATTAATACTTCCGTAAATAAATCTGTTAAACACGAAACAAAGAAATAAACCGAGCTCCGAAACAATCGCCGGCTCACTCCTTACTAAACAATTAATTGGAAAAAATTACTGTTACGATTTTCCCGCGAAAGATAATTTAATTTCAAAAATAACAAACAGAGTGTTAAAAAAATCATACAAACGGAAGATATTGAATAATAATAATAATTATTAATATCCGAAAAATAAAAGGTAATATTTTGTTAGAAAAATAAGACAAGATGTACCTACTTAATTAGTAAATTATTATTTTTTTACCTAAGTGTTTTGTTTTTTATTGTTTTATAGTTCTTAATAAAATAAATGACGAAAAAGAATGTTATTGTTTGTGCGCAACCTCCTTTCCGCCACAAAAAGTCCATGTACCGACGGCCAGCGCCCCACGTATGGATATTCGCAGAGGCCGACAATCGCGAAACTAAGCCATCGACACGATTTAAAATATTGTATTATTTCACGCTACAAAAATATTTTAAATTTTATATAACATTCCATCTTATCGGCAGAACCGAATGCGCAATTTACCTAACGTTAATTCGTATCAAACATTTTTAATGTTTTCGGAATGAAATTACAACCTTCCGGTTAAAAAATTCGACGTAAATAGAGGTTGAGGCGCACGTATTTAGCCCAAAACGTGTACGGGTAACGGGTGAGCGCCGCCATCTGGCAGTTCTGGACCGTCGATAATGGCGTTTGCTACGTGTAGCTTGGTGAGTACACGATCGGCTTAAACGTCTTCATTTTTTGTGTTTGGGGTTAAAATTATGATTTATTTTGCTTCCGCCATTTTTTTCAACTTATTTCCCGTGAGTCAATGCGCGATGTTCACTGAGTCACGTGATGTTATGAACGTGTGCCTCAACGATTTTTACTTGGACTTGAAACGTGTAACGTGTACTTCTGCTACCCGTACACGTTTAACGTTTGAACTTGTGCCTCAACCTCTCTATTGAATGGCGTATCGCTAATAGTTATCTATTGTAATAAGTAAACGCATTCCAAACACAAAAATGCAATTAAAAGAATTCAAAGACGGAAGAGACCGAAAAATGTGACTTCTCGAATTGCAACTGGGTAAGTTGTACGTTAAGAACTAAGTTGGGAAAAACGAAACTAAATTCATATATAGAATACAGACTTTTTTGTTTGAAATTCTTTTGCGTCTTCATTTCATTTCAAAATAAAAATTTTCAAATTTTAAAACCATAAATCAAATAAACAATAAAATTTAAAATCAGAAATATAAATAATTTACACGCCAGTTTATTCTTTTGTAACTTAATAAAGATTATTATAAATACTTGTAAACTATTGCATTCATTTCAATGTTAATTAAATGATTTCTTTAGTTTATTTTTTTATCTTTTCGCCATTTAATTGTCAAAAATATAAAATTTTAAATGGGTAAAATATTGGTAACTCACAACTTGGCTCCCTCCGCAAGATTAAGTAAACGATCTTCGTCGATTTCTGCCAAACCGCCCGCCTGAAGCAACTCGATCAGAGCCTGCTGTCTCTCTTCCACTCTGGTGTCGTCTTTGGGATTTGTCAGAAATTCGATCACCTCGAGTTTCAAAAGATAATCGTTTTAAATCTTGGCCAATCAAATTATTCTATTAAATTATTCGGCGTGTTTTTTATTTTCGACTCGAGTCAAAAATGTGTCGTAAAAATATATAAAACTTCTCCTAAATTATTTTTTTTCATTTATTAACGCGATATACATATATTTTTTTAAATACATTTAATTTATCACCTTCAAAAGGAAAGGCACTTTTAAAAAAATAATCACTCTGATCTTTTCATCAGTTCTTTATCATTATCGAAGAGATTTACTTACGCAATCTTTATAAGCGTTTCGAACCGTACTTTCCAGTGGTTCCTCTTCGGTAGATGATACGGAAGCGCCAAGTAAATAGCACAAACCGAACACTGACGTATCAGAGTACCGAGAACACGGCAATAAAAATATGACGATAAGAAAAAATTCCGACGACGAGATCGGGGCGCCTATTTTTTTAAAAGTACCTTCCCTTGCGAAGGTTGTAAACTTACATATATATTTTAAAATATATTTTAAACTCATCTCCCGCAATGTATAATACAAATAATACATGAAACTTAAATAAAATAAACAGTAATTTTAAATTTAACAGAGTATTCTATTAATAATATACATAATGTACTAAAAGATTTATAATTAGAAGACATAAAAAATTTTTAAAATTTTTATGTTGTCCCTTTTGGAAACCGCGGGAACACAATACGTAGCGAACATTTTGTCGTAGGGGAATCTTTAGCGATTTAATAAATGACGATGTAATTTCGGCCAGGAATGCGGATGTAAAATCACGTATTTTAATCATAACTAGAGATGCCCGTCTATTTTCTGAGAAAAACTTTATTCCGGTGGGTAGGGAATACGATAAAATAATTAATGTAAATAGTATTTGGGTAACTTCTGAGAAATGATTTTTCTAGTAGAAAACAAAGCGATAAACCCGTTAAATTTGAATGGATTGGAATACGTCCATTAACAAAAGGTTGACTACTACATAATATTGCTCCCGCGGTGTTACAGAAAATATAGAGATTTCAAAAAATTTTTGATAATTTTTAAAATAAATATTTTACTATTTCTAACACGGTTTAATTGTTTATATTCGAAGACGTAAAAAGGAAACTATTACATATATTTTAAATTACTCTTGAAATAAAAATTTCAAATTCAATTTAGTTAAATATTGAGTATTTCGGATGGATTAAAAAACAAAACAAAATGCAAAAATAAATTTAGATATATATGTTTCATTAGTTCTTGTAAAATATTTATTTTTAAATAAAATTCCATCTGTAATAATTTATACGATACGACAATTGATATTAGTTTGAATATATTCGCAGCAGTCAAATTAGCAGATTTTTTTATTAACTTTCGTATTAATTACATACTAATCTTATTACCGAAGAAATAAAATTGTGTCGATTACTTAGTATACTTAAAATTAAAAATTTATAACGTTTCGTCACAATGAACACGGATCAAAAATCTGTTTACAAAATATCCATCAGCATATTAGATTTATGTAAGAGCCCGAAAGAAAATATTTCGGGTACGTATTACTTTAATTTGGGTCCTTCGTTCGTGTGAAGTATTTGCATTATACAGTGAAAATATTTGACACCAACGAAGGAATTTATCAGAAAACAAAAAAAAATTATAAAATATAATCAAAAATAATTTAAAAACAAACAAAACCTTTAATCCAGTAACAGAACTTCAACGAAAATTCTGTTACTGGATAAAAGGTTTGTTTGTATTTAATTAATTCAGTAATTTGTGAATTTGTGTATTCTCGATCCAACATCAACTAATAAGTGAAAATAATGCATAATTTTACACTAACGCACTAACTTATATATATATATTATATTAAAAAATGTTAAACATAAATATACATTTAATAACTTATTATAAAATTAAATTAGAAGACAAACACACCTGTTCGAACAGCAGTCGATTAACGATAATGCTATTTTCGTGTTTGGCCATTTGTCTCGCCAAAAACGTAAACAACGCTCCAACTTGTGTTGGCTGAGTTTAAAATTTAACAATTTATTCAATATAAAATACGATGGAAAAAAATAATTAAAAACTATTTAATATTTTCATTTATTGATAATAATAAAAATAAGTAAAACAATTAAAGATAACTCACAGAAAAACCTTCGCTTTCTACCATAATTTGGAGGAGGATGTCTACCACTCTTTGGCGCTGGTTAATACTATAATAATAAACTTTTAACTTATTTAAATATACGTGTTTGTACACAAACTAGTTAATTCTATAATTACAATTTCACAAAATAAACAGTGTGCATAATATATTGTCAATACTATGCTTTAAGATAGAAAACAATGAAACACATGAATTGTTGTCCTAAGTAAACTGGCCAAAGTTTACTTAGGACAACAATTTGACTTATTTGAAAAACTAAACTGACAAAAAGCATGATATAAAAGTTTGTTATTTTCTTTCTGCATACGTGTATACACAGGAAGTGTGTAGAAAGATCATCTCTATGTACACATTATTTCTATTTTGGACAAAGAATGTCATCACTTTTCTCTATAAATTCCTTCAACTATTTTTACCTACTGTTTTTATAAATAAATACGTGTCAACTTCCACTCATCTATTTTTCTGTGTTTTTCTAACTTTTCCTAATTTACGTGTTTATTTTTTCAAATTAAAACAGTACGAACAATACCATGTGCATATTATCTACTTGGTATAAATGCAAATTAAAACAAAAAATACCTTTCGCAGGAGATGAATTCTTCTTCCTCAAATGCCTGTAAAAAAGTAAACTGTGATTTAATATGCTAATTGTAATTCAATATAACTTTATTAAAAATATCAGAACTGATTAATGAAGATTTCATTACTACTAATTAATTTCAACAGAGATATAGGTACTTTTTAAGCAATTATAAAATTTATATTATTAAACTACTCTATATTCTTATAAATATAATTTTTGTTCTAATTTTGAGTTTATGTATATTCTTTATCATTAAAAAAACTTTGATATTTATTAACTATAAAATTTTCAATTGTGAAGTACTCACCAAAGCCAAAACATTGAGAAATTCTCTTGTATCAAAATGAAGTAAAGTTTTTAAATAAGGATAGACCGCATCATCTAAAAATTAAACAAAGTGAAAATTAACTTTATGTTAAAAATATTTCATAACTAGTGTATAACTATTAAAAATTCTATGTGGTACACGATAGTAAGGCTATATATTCGACAATAATATTTTTCGACCGTCCTTTATAATCCACACGCCGACAACAAATTCTTACTTCAAATTACAAATATATTTAAGTCATCCCAATCTGTATAAAATGATAGATTTAATTGATTCTATTGAAAAATTCAATTTTAAGTAAACTTTATTATTCTTATTACTTTTGCATTATAAAAATTGACTATTCGCTACAAATTACTCAAAAATAATTTTACAAATTATTTCAAACTCAAATGTCCTTTTTGACAACTCCAAGAGTTTTGTTCCAAAACCGTTTAAGTAATTTGTAGCGAATGGTTTGCTACAAATTATGCAGCAAAGTTATCAACAATACAATACACTTTCTTAGTACTTTTGGACCTCTTGATCTATCTTCAGACAATTCTGTCACTTCTGAATTTTTTTACATTTAATTTATAATTCTCTTAATACCCAACATTATACCTGCCATAAATTTGAAATTATGCAAAAAATGAACAATTTTTGTTTCTGTAAATTTTTCTGCATTAAAATAATGTAATAAAATTCCAATTATTTAATTATTTCTAAGTTTCAAAACATTAACTTTTCATTATATTTTTATTGTATCTTTTGTGAATGGTTTTGTTTGATATTTATTTAAACTTTGAATATATCTGAAACAGATTTAATGTCCAAATGTTTCAATTTTGGCAAAATATCTTAAATTTATTCTAATACTAAAGTTGTAAGATTCATTGTTTGATATCATTGATGCATGTAGTAATTTAAAAGACAGTTTGATCAATTTAATTGTAAGAATAATGTTTTCCATTTATATACATACAACACAATTCTCATTGTCTTTTTGATTTTGATATTAAATTTAAATTCAATCAACTACACGTACTGGACATTTTAAAATATGCTAATCTGCCAAGAACGACATTGATCGGGCGTCTCCTCGAAGCTTTTTAAAATTATATATATAGACAAGTTGAAAGGCCCGATGCAGGCATCGAGACATACTAAATAGTTAGCATGCGCATCAATGATAAATAAATAATTACTAACGGTTTACCTAAAGTGCAGAGATATTTGACAGAACACTGTTGAAAGTGAACTGCCCATAACTATCGTGTCATGTACTAAAACCAACATCCCTATGTACAATTCTCATGAAATAATTTTCAAAATACCAATAAGATACTACATATTTCCGTTACGGTTGCAAAGAAATAGCGTAATATCCTGTCTCCAGTTCAAAACATAATAATGAAACAAAAAACATAACTATCGTTGTCATGCACTATGCTACACAAGCAGCATGCATGCCGAATACCATCAAAAAGAGTCGAGCACAGACTCTGGCAATTCCTAGGTTGCCACTACGCTTTGCTGGCACTCGATATGCTGACAGATAAAGTTTCTGAATTGATGTTACTTGCTAGAATTTCTTCAGTTGCTGAAAAAAATAATGCAGTATTATCAAAATATATGCAGAGTTGCTATAACATTTAAATTTTATATAAATGTTACAGAAAATTTATTTTCGGAAAATATTTATTTATAAAAGAAAGGTGGCTTTTCTGGCACATTAAGAGAAAACTCTTTTCTCCCTTAATAAAAGACAAAAAATAAAAATTTATCTTTGAAGTGATTTAAATTTCCTGCATTTCGTACTGTTATCCAATGGAGCATTCATCTACATTTCCTTGGATACTTGCCAGATTAAGAATTGAAATATAAATAGCAAACCAAATAAAAATTAAACTTTATCTTAACTTTTGAGTAATAACAGAACTGCAAAATAATCAAAAATGCATCGAGACTGGTACTTTATACAAATTGTTAATTGCAGCAAGAATGAAAATTCATTATACTATAAGGAACCATCATAACTGAATGAAGATTAATGTATATGTAAAATAAAATATATATTAGATAACTATTTTAGTTAAAAAATGAGTTTTTAGCACAACTGTATTAAATGTAATGATATGCATAGATTTCAATAAACCCAGAACAAATGCAATGTGCACCCAATCTATGATATATAAAAAGAGGCTAATGTTATTTATATCATTTGATTATAGTTATAAAAAATTTCATTTTATATACTACAAAATTAATAACTTTATTTCACTTCTTCGCCTTTTCCCACGTTTATATGGGGTCGGCATTTCCTTCTCTAATACGTTTTTTCCATTTCTCCCTATCAAGGGCTTCTTCTCTCTTAAGTCCCCTCTGGTTCAAGTCTTCTTCTATCTTATCTTTCCAATGCATCTTTGATCTTCTTCCTTTCCTCTTACTACCAGCTTTCCAATCATATTTCCAACATAATTGTCACTACTTCGCTCTATGTGGCCAAACCACTTCAACCTACATTCTTGCATCTTTTTGTTCAAGGGGCCCACCCATCTTAACAAAATCTCTAATAAAATCATTTCTTATTCAATCCTTCCTTGACACTCCACACATCCATCTCAACATTCTCATCTCTGCCATCTCTGGCTTTCTTTCTTGGGCTCATTATCGCTTGTGTCTCCACTCCATATAACATTGCAGATCTAACAACTGATTTATACAATTTTCCTTTCAGATTGCAGCTAACTTTCTTGTTGCATAACACACCGCTCAGCTTCCTCCAGTTCATCCAGCCACATTGAATTCTATGCTGCACCTCCGAATTTAATCCTCCTCCCATCCCCACAAATGTCCCAAGATATTTAAAACTTGGAACCATAGGGAGTGGTACATTTTGGATTTTAATATTACACTCGTCTCTACCATTCAGAGTGATATAAGCTGTTTTAGTTCTGCTAATCTTCATGCCCCTTTCTTCCAAAACCTTCCTCCAATCTTCCAGTTTCTTCTCAGCCTGGGTTTGGGAAGTTCACACAGCGCAATATCATCTGCAAACAGCATACTCCATGGAGCCTCACACTTCACGTCACACACCACCACGTCCATTATCAGGTCAAACAAATAAGGGCTAAGGGCCAATGTAAACCAACATTAGCGAAGAACCCTTCTGTAGTGCCCACACTGTTCCTCTGCTCCCTTGTACATTTCCTTGACAAGCCTAACATATTTCTCTGGAACATTCTTTTCCCTCAGACATCTCCTTATCTCTTGCCTTGGTTATGCCTTTTCTAGATGTATGAACACCATGTGCAAATCTTCCTGCATTTCCCTGTCTGTGCCTTTCCATCAGCTGTTTTAGAGCAAAGATAGCATCATTCGTACTCCTTCCAGGCAAAAAGCCAAACTGTTTCTCTCCAATCTCAGATTCCTGCTTAATCCTTCTTTCTACAATTTTCTCCCAAATCTTCATAGTATGGGACAATAACGTTATACCTCTGTAATTTCTGCAATTCTGTACATCCCCTTTACCTTTGAAGATCGGCACCAGAATGCTCTTCCTCCATTAGTCTGGGATATTCTCCTGCTGCCAGAGTTTCTTCATAAGATCCCAGAGGATATCAATCCCCTCCTTACCCAAACCTCTCCAAGCCTCAATTGGAATCCAATCAGTGCCTACTGCTTTCCCCACCTTCATTTTCCTAAGAACACTTTCCACTTCTCTGCTAATATCTTGCGCTACTCTTTCATTTGCCTCTCCATTTTCGTATAAAGTTCTGGGGTTTTCTTTATTCAATAAATTCCTAAAATATACTTTTCATCTTTGACACTTTTGTAATCTCGTAATGCCTCTCCTTTATCATCTTTAATCAGTTTAATAGAGATAAAATCTTTTGATGCCTTATCTCTTGCATTGGCAATTCTCATCAACTACCTTTCTCCATCTTTCCTTTCGAAAACTTTATAAGCCTCTTCTAAAGATCTTTGCTTTTGCAATAGCCACTTAAATAATAACTTTATTTCACTATAGTAACCAAATGTATTAATATGAAAATACAGACTTAAACAATGATTCTCTCAATGTACTCTTTGATTGATATATGTTTTGTTACAAGACTAATAACATAGATTTAATTGTAGACCATTTTCAAATTTCAATTTTTTAAGGAAGTTTTTTAAAATGATAAAAGTAACAAAACCAGAGTCTAACTAATAATTAAGTGACCAAACAAGGTTTGAACTAATATAAGCAATAACTAGATGAAATAAATGTACAAAACTAAACCTTTAACAATCATATATTTTTCAAATCAACAAATGTTTGCAGCTAATTTAATTAACTTAAATTTGGAATGTTACAGTTTTTTAAACATACTCAAATAGAAAGTATGTTTGTAAATTTAAATGATTTTATGAATCCACCACTAACATTCTAGAATTTGATAGTTCCTTTTTATGTTTGGAACCCAATTATAGATAATTAAGTTACCTGAAAAAATCATTTGAAAAATATGTAACAGACATTAAAGGTTAGTTTCACAATCCTTCAACAAACGTATCAAGTTACGATATAAAAACTATTCTTATAGTTATCATTGTTTCTTAAGATTGTATGTTTAATTGCAAACAACAATACATGCTGTTTTTCAACAATGACAATTTGATGGATGAATATACAATGATTATATCATAAACTGTTGTTGCGATGCATTTGATTGTTACAATAATTATACACTATGGACGATGTTATTCTTACTCCTTTCACAATTTGATAATCTACTGATAATCTGTACATGTTGTACAATGAATTGATTAGTCATCAATTAACAATAAAAATTCCAATTATTGATTAAGATACACAAAAATAATACTGTACATTAGTAGTGTTTTCGTCCAGTCTGTGAAAGATTTGATTTTGCATTTAAAGAACGAACGACAATGTAAACACCTGACATGTGGCATCATAATTCAAATTTGTTTATTTTCTTCTTCACTTTCTATAATTAGTTTTCAAAAATACAAACAAGCGTACCGTGTTTGTTACTGTGTAGAGAGACGACGCATTCGAAAACTTCGGTTTTCACAGATTTGGCCTTCTCTTGCGGAATGTCACCCTTGGGATAAGATCTTCCCGCCAAACAGCAACTATTAGAAGATAAAACTATTAAAGATAAAGCCATATCTTAAACACAGACACAAAGATTAGTTCTAAGATTTCAGAGAATTAAAAACTACATAAATAAACAGCTACATTAAAGTAACTAAAATATTAATTTTTTTATAAATAAAATTTTTACAACCCATAAAAATTAAAAAACTACAAACTTACACATTTTACAAGGGCCAAATTTACAAAACTTAAGCAACTTGATACATCAAGTTCATCTAACTTCATAAAATCATCCAACTCCATTCACATTACAATTTTTATAGTTGATTACATCAAAATTACTTTGGCATCCAGGCCAGTATTTAAATTGATCAACTTTTTATCATTAACTATTGATACAAGTTCTTTAAATTTTCTTGCATAAAAGATCTTTTCCTTTAAATAATATTTTTATGTTATTTCTATCAATTTTACAATTACTCATTTTATAGCGTTCGATATGCAGAGACTGCACATTTTCCCATAGAACTGCCACTTCATGTTCTTTCAATCTGTCAGTCGGCACATTATAAACTATCGACCGTGTTATAAACTGAAGTCTGTTAAAGCTAATACAAGTTTTTAAGAAATCCAACAGATTTTTTTTATTCCAGAATTAAATAATTCTTCAATTCTAACAATTCAAAAAACTTGTTCTGAAATTCTTGTTCCAATCTGTGTAACAGAGAAATCTGATGATGATAGATAATATCCCAAAAATCATTTAATTCAAAAATAATAAAAAAACAATCTATGAACTCCTTAAAAACGTACTTTAACATAGATGAACTTCAGTTTATAGAGACTGTCACATACAATTTAAAAATGATGATATAATATATTGATATATAGATATTATTATTGTTGTTGTTGTTGTTATTATCATTATATGTGCCAGAACAACAAATACCTTATCGTTGTTTACATTTTAAAAATATTTATTTTTCTTAGCCAAATGAATTTCTTTTGTAATTTTCAAATTATTTTTATTGTCATTTTAATGATACTAACCTAATGTAGACCAGAAGTTTATTTCCGAGAATAATTTGCGCATCCGTCAGTTGTTTTCCACTGGATACGGCCCGACGAAGAATTTCGAGCAGATCCTGTATTTCAAAAAATCTCAACATTTAATATCATTTAAAACATTTAATATGGAGCCAATTCGTGTTTTAGATTAGAAAACAGAAGAAAGGAAAAATCTATAACAAAAAGTTTAAAAATTGGACTGGCTAAAATGTTTTTTCAGTTTTTTTCTGTAAGATGGCTGTAGCAGCACTTTCTTATCTGTAACTTCATTCAAAACAATTTTGTTAGATAATATTGTGACAACTGTCGTATCAGCATGCATTAAGAAAAAAACCTTACCAAAGCTGGTGAATTTCTGTGTAGCTATTTAATATTGAAGAAGGAAGAAAACAAAACATTTTTGGCATATGCTTTATTGTTTCAAGAAAGGAAAAAATGCAACTAAAATGCAAAAACAATTTGTGCAGTGTGTGAGGAGCCGTAACTGATCAAACACGTAAAAACTGGTTTGCAAAGTTTTCTGCCAGAGGTTTCTAGCCAGATGGTGCTCCACGGTCGGGTAGATCAGTTGAAGTTGATACCGATCAAATCGAGACAGTAATTCAGAACAATCAATGATATATTGCATGGGAGATAGCCAACATACTTAAAATATCCAAATCAAGCTCTAAATATCGTTTGCACCAACTTCATTATGTTAATCACTTTGATGTTTAAGTTCCAAGTAAGTGAATAAACCTTCTTGGCTACTTCCATGTGCAATTCTCTACTTAAGCAAAACAAAAATGTTCCGTTTTTAAAACAAATCGTGACGGGCAATGAGAAGTGGATGTCACAATTTGATGGACATCCGCTTTACAATAATGTGGAATGGAAGAGATCGGCAAGCAAGCAAAATAAACCATTACCAATGGCCAGTCTTCGTGCAAAGAAGGTGGTGATGTATATATCGTGGAAAGCCCTCTATTATGCACTTCTTCCGGAAAGCCAAATGATTAATTACGACAAGTAGCACTCCCGATTACAATAACTGAAAGCAGCACTCGGCAAAAAGCATTTCAAATTAGTCCGTAGAAAATACACGATCTTCCATCAAGATAACGTAAGATTGTGCGTTTTTTGACAACCAAGCAAAAACTGTTACGGCTTAGCCAGAAATTCCGATTCGTCCGCCATAGTTGCCAAATGTTGCACCTTTGGATTTTCATTTATTTTACTTTTTGCAAAAATTTCTTAATGAAAAAATTTCAACTCCCCAGAAGCCCATAAAAGGCACCCTAACAGTTCTTTGCTCAAAAAGTTAAAAAGTATTGGAATGAAGAAATTATGAAGTTGCCTGATAAAAATAGCAAAAGGTAGTAGAACAAATGGCTAATACATGGTAAACTAAAGTTACTGGTGAAAATGAAAAATATGTCTTTTATTTTGATTTAAAAACTGACCAAACTTTTTAACCAACCCAATACTATATATTCATCATTATCTATAGATTTTATAATTAATTTACTATAATAAATAACACTCTTCTATAAAAATTTTTAAATATTTTTCTGAAAAAAACTTATGTCACATATTACAATTTTTTCACTAATTTCTAATCTGTGTGTAGATTTTCTGTCAGGGATAGTTTATGAGTAATTGGAATTTTAAGGTTTTCCTAGGTTTATATTAAGTGTACTAATGAAATAACTTAGTCTTACTATATTCCTACTTCATACTATATGTACTCAGCACAAATGTATTTATTCCTACAATATAATAATAAAAATTTATAAATGAGAGATGTGATAATATTCATAAAATAAACAATTATTGTACAAAAAAATTTAAAAAATCTGGCATATAAACAAAATTATTTTATTTTGTGTGACTCTTTCTTGTCTCTAATAATATTCCAACAATAAAGAGTTAATACAGAAGGCATCCACTTTCTTTCATACCACTTCTTCAGTTCTGTAAATCTTATCTGAAGTCCAGAGCTTTTAATCCACCGATGTTACTGCAAAAAGTCAGTGTGTTATCAGTTGCAAAATATGTAACAAAATCTTTTCCTCTACACCAGGGGTATCCAACCTTTTTGTTTCTCTGGGCCGCATTGGAAGAAGTCAAGGAGTTTTGGGCCACAAGTATATATAATATATACTTGTGGCCGAATATACAAGTATATTTAAGGATTAACATGTCTAGATTATAATAATAAGTATTAAAACTTTATCACGAAACAGGATATTTTAAAAAATTACTTTTACAGACACTATCAATTTTTACTTACAAATAGATAAATTCATTTATTTGATAAAACGCAAATATTTGGTTTATTTGAGTCTCTGATTAATAAAAAGCGACGAAACACCATTTTAAAGTGCATTTTTATTCAACTAATATATTTATAAATGATATGTAGCCCCAAAAGTAGCCAAAGCGCCAAATGATATTTTTTTACGTTAAACTAAAAAAGTAGCCACATTTGGCGCAATGTAGCCAAATCTTGCAACGCTGGAAGGAATACTAAATAAAGCTGGAGTTTTGACTCAAAGGATTATAGAGCCAAATTCGGAAAAAGAAGAGAAAGGACAAAAGATAAAGAAGTGAGAAAGGTTGGAAAATTAAGACTCAATATTTGCCTAACAGAAGAACTATTTAACCTTTCTGACAACTTTTTATCTTTTGTCCTTTCTCTCCTTTCACCAAATTTGGGTCTATAATCCTTTGAGTCACAACTCCAGCTTTATTTAGTAATCCTTTCTCATTCACACATCTTCAAGTACATGAAAATATTTCATTTACACTCAAAACTGAAATATAAATAAAGGTTTATGGCTTTGTGAAACGTCTTTTCTGAGTTTATGCCGTTGAAATAAATAAATAATAATAAAATTAAAACATTTGTCGGTTTTGTTTAAACCTTTATTGGGCCGCATTGGAACTTGCCTTGGGCCGCATGCGGCCCGCGGGTTGGACACCCCTGCTCTACACCTTAATTCAGTAATTTTGTACTTGGGTGGAGAAAATTTTATTCCTATAACCCAGCAGTTCAATCTTTATTTTACTTAACCCCAAGACATGAATTGTTTAGATCATCTTGAATTAAAAAGTTTGAATGGATTACTTGTGCCCCAACACAGAGGATTTTTTTTTTCGGAGATGATGGTAATTCCTCATTGTTACTTTTTCACACACTTTCAATTTCATTATGACAGTGACCTCATATCAGACCTCAAATTATTGCTTTGAACAGATATTATATGTATAAAATGACATTATTGTTGGGGATCATTCTCATATGCATACAATATTGTGTCATTGTCCTTATAGTTTACGCAGTTCCCCATTCTGTCAGCCTTGTAAATCTCTAGTTTTTCCAATGCCCTTATGTGATCAGTTTGGAATGATTTCCTCATGAGAACTGCATATATATCTGGGTCCGATGCATATGTTGCCAGTGCTGTGGTGTTCTTACCCTTATCTAATTTGAGGACTGTGAACTAAATATAGCATATCAGAAATTCAAACTTTTGAATTATCTGGTATTCGAATTCCGTGCATTCCAAAGTTTTAACACCATTGAACCTGAAGCAGAACTCTGTGGAGATTCTAAAATGTTTGTTCACTCAAATAGACATCGTAACTTACTGGAAACAAAAACGTTTTGAAAGGGTCAATTACAGGATTCCAGTAATCAAGTAGTGAAAAGTTTACTTAATTAACAATACAAATTTATTAATTTCAAAGCTTTTAAAAAAACAATTACTTACTTCTAAAGGCGTGATATAATCTTCCATTCCTTTATTATATATGTAAAGGATGCCATCGTACAAACCGTGTGCCCAGCACAACTTCATCACCTTTTAATTTGAGTAAAAAACATTTTGTTTTAAAAATATATAGTTTTAAAAAGTAAAATACCGTATAGTTACCTGGTGAATGTCAAAAGAGAGTATATCGAGATGCACGAGGCAGGCCTCCAACGAATTAAACTGTTGTTTATCCGAATAATGATTGACGAATTCTTTCGCAATGGTCGGAGGAAGATACGTTATCACTTCGTCGAGAATGTACGATTCTAGACTCTCTAAGAAAATGCCCCGACAGGCGGGATCGATGCTAAGTCTTTCGAATATTTTTCCAAAGAGAAATTCTCTAAAATTATAGCCATTTTAATATCACATTAATTTAATGGAATTTAATTTGGAACAATATTCAAAGAAACAAATTATAAAACAATGAAAAATTTTCACAAAGACAACACATTGAAAAATTACAATACTAAACATTTATGACAGCAAATATCAATAATAAAACAAGTCGATGACAGAAGAGATACATATTGACAAAATGAGTTTAATAGTGTAAAAATAACAGCAGTAGATTATTATCAAAACATAACATATCTGAGAAGTACTTATGATAATTCATTACAATGCATTATATGTATATATAATAAATCATTAAAGTTCTATTGAATATTTTAGGATATAATAATCAAAAATACAAAATAAAGAAAATTAATCTGCAAAGAAATTTCATAAAATTTTTATTACAGACAAGTGAACCACTTTAATAACATTTCCATATTTCCAGTTACTAACATTTTCATATTTTTAAACATGAAAATGGTTATTTTTCACTGCAATTTCACACATTAACCAATGCATTAGACAAAATTATGAAAATAAGAGAGATCGTGACACAAATCAGAAAAAACCCGGCAATGAACAAGAAATATAAAGTAAAAACAAATCTTTCCACCATTTTGAATGGTCATCTTCAAAAAAGTGGAATGCATTTTGCTGGTTTTTGGTGTTTTGTGTGTATCTTAGTACTTTCGTTCAGTATATTGTGGTGATTGACAAGATTTTGAATCTAACAATAAAATGTGATGAAATACTGAAAACAAAGTAGTCCTTGCCTGCATGACAAAAAGCATTAATATTAGCACAAACAAAATTTTGATACTTTGACTTCAACCAAAAGTAACTCCGATTGACAACGTGTAGACCAAAAAATAACAATAAATGACTAAATATTAAGGACCGGTCAACAAATTGACTGCAATGGATCCACTAACCAGTCCCATAATATTTAATAATGAAGTGTGATTTAACCTTTGCACAATTATTGTATGCCACAAGTCCAAAAAAGTTTGGAAACTATTACTGTAAAGCATTTTTTTGTCTTTATGTATAAAACATGTATACTCTTTCACATTAAATTTTGAAAAAAATTATTATTGGTTATGTACAGAAATGAAGTTTATAATTTGATATCATTCAGTTATATCAGTTATATAAATATAAAATGTTCAATAAAAATTGAATATTTTATAATTCCACCAATTGTCTATTGATGGAACTGTCTGCTCACAGAACAGTCTCCCCTATATCTATTCATGCAAAAATAAATTACCCTTTTAATTATGTTTATTATGTTTCTATATTTATAATTGAAACTGATTTTATATTTTTCAATTTCTTTCTCATATTAAGAATTTTAAATTTAATCATGAAGTAAGAAAACACAGTCACATTTGACATACATAAATAACATATAATGTATTACCTTTGATTTATAGCAATGCAATATTGTACACAGAGGGGAACGTGCATCTGATAATGTTGTATCAACAGTTCTATTTTTCCGTGCTCGGGACATAACTGGGTCATAATTTGATCTGCATAGATGCCGAGAACTTCCAGAATTTTATTTGCCACTTGTTCTTGTCTTTGATGCTTTTTGCCTAGGAGTCCTGAAAATTTGAAAAAATACAATTACATTTATCTGTGGTAGAATCTCAATTATCCAAGCTAATGTGTGATAAACTGTTTTAGATAACTGAAAACTTGAATAAAACATATGGTCGTGACCATTTTGAATTAAAAATTGCAAATAAATAAAAGCTATAAATAGTTTTGTTGCGCTAAGTACCACAAAACTATTTATAGCTGGTTACATAATGACAAAGACTCAATAGACCCTGACATGGCCCCTGGAGTATACAAACTACCGGCTAATCTAGGTCTGGAAAACAAAACAAGCAAGTACATAAAATACACATCCATAAACCTCCCTACAAGACTTAAAGAGCACAGATATGACGTGCATAAAGGAAACTGCCTTAGCTATAATGGCCACTGTACCAGACAATATACCAAACTTTAACTTTTCAGCAGTGGGTTAGTCAGGTATGGTGCTATAGCTATGTAGTAGAGAATAAATGTGGGAAATTTTTTAAATGTTTTCCCACACATTTTTTCTCATTACCATTTCAAAAAAAAAAATTTTGTAAACAGTTATGTTAGTAAAGAAAAGTCTTTTTTTTTTACTGTTATGTAATTCTTTTTTATGTGAATTTTTTTTTTGCGGTAGTTTTTGGCGATATCTGTAAAACTCTTTTTCAGATATAGCTGTCGTTTACCAGGGCCACATGATCGCCCTTGACAGATATTTGTCGGTCACTGCTGAATGGTTAACAAAGCTAAGCTTTTAAAAACAATAGGGGATCAACAAGAAGGTAAAACTCTTGAAAAAATATGCATATATAAGCACAATGTTAAGAATACATGCATAAATAACAAAGATGCTGCTTGTTTATCAGCAGATTGGAAGTACCTTCTCAATAAAGGAACAGTGATACCAAAGACTAAAACAATTATCTCATCTATGCATTTATTTACATTATTTTTATTTTATTTTATTTATTTAGTTACTTTATTTTATTCTATATATTTAAGGCAGTGTTGCATACATGTACTTGTATTCTTAATTTACCTGTTTTTATGTATTTAAATTATTCTTGTTTAGAACGTAATTTTTTAAACTTTAAAGAATATGATTTAAAAAACAATCAATCCCAACGATGGCTACAAAGATAACTGAAAAAGATAAGTTGTTTATCTAAGTATTTACAATAATCCAGTTTATGATCAATATATAAGCCGCTCACTTGCCAAATCAATTAACTCCACAAAACAAAAAGTATAAAAATTGATAATATAAATTAGTTTTTAAAAGTCCCTTTAAACTTTAAATTTAAATAAACATTGTAGAATAACAATTTTTATAGAAACAATTTTTATATATCATTGCATTAAAGCTATGCTTTAATATAACAATATATGAAATTAGTTATGCAAAAAATGCAAAAATAACAACGATTATATTAAGGATTTACAAACGGAGTTAATCGATTTGGCCTATGAATGACTCATATAACATAGTAGTTGATACTTGAAAAACTATTTACGTATTCTCTTCTGCCCCAGCAACCAGATATCTTTAACATAATAATAACCATAGTCCCTTATATCTGTGATGAACAGAACTTTGAATTAACAATAATCTACATTTAAATTCAGTGTTTTGTTTTCATTTTGATATGCCAGAGAAGAAATAACCAATATATAGGATAATCATATACAGTATACAGTGAGCACATCTTTTTTTTCTAAGAAGCCAATAAAAGTAATAAATGTTATCATCATTGCATCTTCTCTCTTATTGACTGATTTTTCCAGAGCCATTGCTTTTTTTTTCATGGTGTCACTTGTCTGTAGCTGCTTTACTTGTTCTAATATGACATGTGCCACACAGACCACACACTTTTTCAGTGCATTTCCCTTAGACAATGCTATCTGCAATTTACCTGTTTCTTCCATCAGTAAAGCCTGTTCTGTGTCCTTATCAGCTTCATGTTTTTTTTTTCTTTTTCTTCAATATGGTTTCCATATTATCAATTTTTGTCTTTTGTTCTATCATTTTCTTATGTTGTTCCTCCATCTTCTTTAATTCGTTTTTATCTTCTTTTGTATTTTCTCTATTTTAGTTCTCTCTTCTTCTTGTAAATGTTTACAGTAGGCTTTGTGAGCATTTTGACCCACTGTAATGAGTTTTCTTGAAATAGGAATGTTAAATGGCTGGTCATCATAAATCTTTATGGCATCTTTAACAATCATCATAATATCCAACATGTTTTCTGCACATATGTTTCATCCTCTGTTAACACCCTCTTGGACATTGAGAACCCTTGATTGATCAGCATTGCCCTGGGAAAGACTTAATAAGGCTCTAACGACCTTAGTGATAAATTCACATTTTGCAATTCCTGTACTTTGCTTCAATTTGAAAAAATATCTCCAGTAGTGATTTAAACAACAATTCTTGTCTTCTGGCAAGTCATTTTCATGTTGAAGTTCCCACTCATCCAGAAACTGGCCTCAGCAACATGAACCAGTTTAACAATTTCAGCCTTTAGTATGACCAATATCCTAATGCAAATGCAATATGAAAAGATGTGGTTAGTCCCATCAGCAAATAACGCTATATCAAGAATCTCAGTTTTCTAGATGCCAGGGCTTTGGAGTTTAAAAATCTATCAATTCCCAGCTTCACAGTCAAGCCCAATGCAAAACACAACAAGTTCCATTTAAAAGTTTTTGAGTTATAGTAAAAATATTATACTGCATTATTGTGACAGTCTGTTTATTTTTCTTAAATTGAATCCTAGCTATGGCTTATAAGAGAAATGAGAGAGTCAGTGGCAATGTCAAATATAATTTACATTTAATATTTAAGTTTCTGGTAGTCCAAAGTATACTTTAGACACATGGAAGGTTTATAATTACTGGGTTAGAGATATGTTGATGAATTATTATAATACTAGCAGAAGAGCCAGACATTGCTTGGGAAAAAAATAACAGCAGCAAAAGTTAAGATTGTTAGTTTATTTCGTGCTTTTAAATTTTCTACTGTATTATATTATAGTATTTGATTTATATTTACAAAGGTTATCTTACGTAAGAGTTTATCACACTGAGTGCCCAATCTAACACATTTAAAAAAATTTTTTAAATGTGTACAGTAAAGGAGTAAAGAATTTTTAAAATGTGTTAGATAGGTCACTCAGTGTGATAAACTCTTACATCACTATAAGGTTTAATTATTTCCGCTCGATCCCAATGGACTCGAATGTCGTGTTGTGTTGCGTAAACCGATAGCAGGGTGTTATCAAGTTTCTTATTAATCATATATTTATGCTCTTTGATATGCTGCTGCAAGTTGCGCAATGTTGCACCCATGTAGACAAGATCTGAATTAAAACTCTGATCGTGTAATGGTATAGAAATTCTATACCATTACACAATCAATTAAATAATTAAACCTACGACAAATTTACATACAATGAAATATCTGGAAAAATTAGAGATCTTTAAGGCACACAGGAAAACTACTTGCATCAACCACAGGGAAGCGGACTCTTTACCTACCGCATGGCGATCCTTTTACAAGAATTAATGACTTTATTTTTGTAAAGGGACATTTTTTCGGCTTAATTTATATTTTTCGTTTATTTTATCAGCACAGCTACTTTTCTGTTATTTATATTTTAATTTCGTATTTACGTTCTTTTTTGTGTTCGATTTATTCTATGTTATGGTAACTGAAGAAGATCATTAAGAAACAATCGAAAACGTTTTTATCTTATTAATTTTTATTAGCTGGATTATTAAAGGTGTGTTTTATTCGTAGTATATTTATCCAGTTGGTTTGTTATATAAGTGTACTTGCTAATTTTTTCAGTGCATATGTTTTGTACATTGTGTGTGTTTGGAACAGATATGTCTGTAATGTATGAGATTTTATTGTGTTTGTCAATGAGTGTGATGTCTGGTCTGTTGTGGTAAATTATTTTATCTGTGATTACAGCTCTGTCATAGTACATTTTGTGTTTTTGTTGTTTTCCAATACTGTCTATGGAATGTTATTTGTAGTATTATTTGTGGATGTCTAATAATTTGTGTTTGTTTGCAAGCTCTTGGTGTATTATATTTGCTACTTGATTCTGTCTATGTAAATAATCTGTCTGTGCCAAGAGCTTGCAACCAGAAGTGATGTGTTGTATAGTTTCTGGAATAATGTGACATTTTCTGCATGCGTCATTTGTGAGTGTTGTATCTTATTATTATTATTACTGTATTTTTATTAACCCATCTCAATTATATATATACAGTATATAGATTTGATGACAGTTGTTTTGGCAAAATGATTAATTTAATCTGGCAAGGCTTTGGAACAAAGAATGCCAGAAATTCAGTGATATATCTATAATCACATTTAATTTCCAAATAATATTTTGGAATATACTCAAGATGGCATTCAAAATATTTAGTCATCATCTTACTTAAAACAGTAAATATCTAATGTTAAATTATGAGAATTACTTTAAATCTATTTTAATATTTTAAATTTGATTAACAATTTAATACCTGCCACTGCTTTTGCTCTCTCCTCATAAAAAGATAAAGCCAGTGCCAAAGCTTCAGCGTAGAGTTTTTGCTTCAGCAAAACATCAATTCTCTAGATTTGAGAAAAAATTATTATTAATTTTAAAATTATTTACCAAGTATTTTCTTAACAATTGCATTTTTATATCTGAAAGCTTAAATAATAATGCCAATTATAATGATATAAAACTTTAAACAAGGAAAACGATTAAATATATGTTAAAATTGATACAGACTAAAGCTGCTATATATATAATATGAAAATGTGTGTGAGCATGTGTGTTGCATGTCTGAGTGTGTGTACAAGGATAAGTTCAAATGAATCAGATTTTTTCCCTGTCAAAAATATAACAACAACAAATTCTGGAACAATATCACTGTAAAGAATGGTTATTGATACATTTGTCCCAAAAGATCAAATTATCTTTTGTTTCTAATTAGAAACCATATGTATACACCTTACAAAAGATATGTAATGATAGTTTATAGTGAAAATATGTGTAATAAAAATTTTATTTCATCAATATACTTAAGCTTTTGTAAAAGAGTAAGATAGTCTCTGAAGAAATCCAATGGTTTTTTCTATCATCAATCCAAGGATGTTAAACGAGAAGAGTAGAAAATGACAGTAGTATACCTAACATCTGCTTGTTAAAAAAATTATAAAAGGAATATTATATACAAAAAATTATGAGAACATTAGACAGCAGAATTAAAGACTATAAAATAACTGTGAAAAGACAATCAGAAATTACACTGTTAGGAGTGGTATCCTCACAGAAAAACTAATATAATCTGGTAAAAGAACTCAATATTACAGGAGCTAAATGTCAGCAAGAACATGAAATGTGTTGAGAGTGATATCATATGGTATATCTAAAGCTGTTTGGCATATTCTGTACTGTTGTCATTCAACTTTTCTAATTTAGCTCATTCCAATTTCATTTCAATCTCTCTCTGTAATACCCGATTCACACTGATTATTTCAATCAAGATTGTGGTCACGGTTGGCGACTGAGCCGAGGTGCGACCTCTCTCAACCGTTTCAATCTCGACTGAAATGAGGTTCAATCACGATCGACTCAAGAGAGTTCTTGAAACTAGATCCAGCCATAACAGAGTTCCCACAATCCCACACACGCGAGAAAATACAAGATGGCTGCAGAACACATGTCAGGCTACGAACATAAAAATAAAGATATTTAGAGAGACAATGACTTATTAGATATATGGCAAGAAAAAGTATTTATTTCTAACCAAAACTTCCATTTTGTTTGTTGGTGTTCATGAGTTACCGCATAGTTATGTAAATTTTATCACTGCGTGTAATAGCCATGTTCTTCTCAAGAGACTGCCTGTATGAACAGTTTGATGTTCGACTGGCGACAGTTACAATCAAGGTTGTGGGTAAATCAAGATCAAAGTGAGTCGTGGATTGTGTGTGAATGTAGAATAAGGATATTTTCTAATGATGTAATTTCTAATCCTTTTTTTTTACATTATTTTTATGTTCTTTAACACTAAGATCTGGATAGTAAGATTAACAACAAAATAAATTATGGCAAGCTAAGTAAATAGGAGAGAATATTTAAATAATAAAAATTTAAAACCTGATTAATGAATTTTTGAAAGATATAAACTTCAAAGTTTAAAAATCTTATCTATAAGTTTGAAAATCTTTATCCTTGAAAATGCATTGTAAAATTCAAAATCACTAAAGTCTGTCTATGGAAAGAGTCAACTTAAGAGTAACATCGCTTCAGTTAAACGAATCAGCACATTTCCTAATGAAGTCAGCACTTTGTTTATCAGGCAATACTGTATATGAAATTTTATTCTCTTTCACTAGATGATTGAATGATTTTTTCCATTAACTGTGTTTATTTTTTATAGCCTGAATTAACTGTAAAGAATCATGCACTTAACAACTATTACATGTTCTATATTTATTTATATAGCAATATAAAATAACTGTTTTATTGTAAGTTTAGATATAAGTTTGACTTGGCTGCTCTTTACCAATATTTTTTCATCCTGAAAAGGACCTTTTAGTTTTTATGATATCAATCTGACAATGAAATGGAATCTTCATCTTCACTTCAGAAGGTTGCTTGGTGATGTATTAATTACAAGTTGTTCCACAACACTGTCCAGTCAACCAGCAGATTCCCTATATCCCAGTCAACCAGCAGATTCAATAACTTCTATGTGATGAACTGTTGCTATCCAAATTTTTTTTAGCTATTGATTCAAAAGCATTGTCCATCAACATTTTACATCTGCCAATTTGCATATGTCATTACGTTGAGTGACATATGCTTTTAATTGAGTCCATGTTAATTTAATGAGATTAAATTTGCAATGATAGGGAGACAAGGGAATAACTATTATCTCTGGATCCAGTCTCTTCATCAATCTCATAGCATGTCCTGGAATTCTTATGCATCTTAATTATTTTATAAAGCACAGATCTGTACAGGCAATAAAATTCTATATCAAATTAGTCAGTCTATCATTTCTCGTTTTTGACTATTGCTGGATGGAGTTGTCCAACATTAATCAAAAACATGCAATGACGCATGTCACAGTTGTCAACTGGAATGACCTCCAATTGACAACTACAATATAGAGCAAGGGTTTCTCAACGGGGGCAATATTGCCCCCATGTGGTCGTTTTTCCATGTTGAGGGGGCAATTTGTAACAATTTATATTTTGAGGAGGCAAAAACAATTTTCTGGGCGATGTAGTAAAACATTATATTAAGAATAATTAGATATTTTATTCGTTATATCGTACAATAATTAAACAAATAACATTATACTAGTCACTAGTCTACTCAATGCAGTACAAATTTGGCATTAGCCTTGGCCCTCGGCATCTAAATTTTGAAGTGAAGGGGACGATACTACATAACGGTTTTATTGAAGGGGGGACGACGATTCCTTAGAGGTTGAGAAACATTGATATAGAGCATTGTCCATGATTTTTCTGGGATGTTGGGAATAAGTTGATTCTTAAAAACAATTTCAGAAAAACATCTACATCTATTTCTGTGGTAATCTGGGTCACTGCCTTTGGAAACAAAAACAAGCTGAGTGTTAAGAATAAAACCATTTTCATTTCCAGCATAAAGAATTATCAATCATCTGCCTTTTCCAATCAGGACTTTCAAATTAGTTGCACTGTCTTGGCAGGATTGATACAGTTTGATGCTCATTTACCCACATTTAGTCACCTAAATATATACAGGACTGGCTTTAATCCACAGTTTGAACTGTTTGCAATGAATTAATTCTGGATGTGATTATATTATTTCTTTCCATAAGTGCTTTACACTGATTAACTTTAAAACCACCATACTCAACCTTTTCTTCTCTGGGGCTACATACACATGATAGCTATTACACGCAGGCCGCAACATAACAATTATAATAAAAAACTTACTTAATTTCTCACTTACCCTAGAAATTTATTGCAAACATTTTTTAACAATTTCATTTAAATCTTTTTTTATGCTCTTTCCACCCTGTAGGCACTAAGAGGTGATGAATCAGTAAGCCAGTTTCTATATATGCTCTTTGAATATTTCATTTTTGAGTATGACATTTCACATAGATAAGTTGATGCGAACAACATATGTAAAATTTAAGCACATTTTTTTTAGTCTTATATTGATCGGGCCCTACTTTCCAGAAGTCAATGTTANATTTTTTAACAATTTCATTTAAATCTTTTTTTATACTCTTTCCACCCTGTAGGCACTAAGAGGGCCTTTTATAGCAGGCCCATTATGGGTTCGGCCAAGCCCACAATGGTGCAACCGGTGGTGAGGGACAGGGCCTGACATATCCCCGAAAAATTCCTGGGGATTCCGCCCCAACCAGATTCGATCCCGGGTCCCCCAGAGCGGTAGGCTGCCACCTTGACTGCTCGGCCATCTGGCTGTCAATTCATTTAAATCAAGCTTGTAACTGCTGCATGCTACTTGTAAAACGACATCCAGGCATGAATCAGTAAGCCAGTTTCTATATATGCTCTTTGAATATTTCATTTTTGAGTATGACATTTCACATAGATAAGTTGATGCGAACAACATATGTAAAATTTAAGCACATTTTTTTTTAGTCTTATATTGATCGGGCCCTACTTTCCAGAAGTCAATGTTATTATTTTCTGCTTTCTTTCACATCCGGGCCACTCACAAAAGCTCAGCGGGCCACAGGTTGAGTATGGTGACTTTAAAATAACAATATCTCAGTTCCTCACAATCTTCAATGCATTTCTGAGATCTGCAGATTGAGGAGGTTAATTTTTACAAAATAATACATTTAGATAAATAATTATTGAAAAAAGGGTTGTAACATTAGTCATTTGAAAGAGGGAGGAAACAAACTTCCTTTCACATAACCCTTATCTTGAAAGTTAGACAACCATATGCATGTTTACCCCCTTTATTACTCCCCAAACATCCTGTTGACAACAGAAAAGCTCATATTTTGATTGGTTGAGTAACACTTAATATATCAAAGCACATCCTGAGATTGAGGAGATCTCTACCAGATCCACATAGAGAAGGGTCTACCATGGTCCTCCACATAGAAGACAGGGAGTGCATGGAAAAGTCCTCGAATAGATATTTCAATTGGTGAGAAAATACCTAGAAGATATTCAGAAGACCTACAATTCTTCTCTGAACTCCAGAACAAGTTCTACAATTAAGAGAATACAGTTTAATATCCATGTAAACTCTCTGTCTTGCACATAGACTAAATTAGAAGTATTTTAATTCCTCAGCATATTGTATTATTGTTTTACTTTGTTCATTTAACTTTTAATTAATTAATTAAACATTGTTGTTTTTATAATGGTCTAGTTAATTAGTTTCCACTCATAGAGAAGTAGATCCTCTTATGATTTATCCGGAGGTCATCATTCGGATGTCACATGTATCTATATATAGCAGTTTACGCGTGGTAGGGGGCAAAATCCAACCCTATCTGGTGCCAGGAATCTTGACATAGGAGACGGTGATTATATGATCGTCTAGTCTCCGCACATATATCACTCAATACAAGCCATCCTTTGACGCTGCAGGCCAATCTAACTCACAGATCGAGTGTCGATTAAGTGACAGAGTTCAATTTAAGGGAGCTCTAAGTCCCCGGCTTCTTACACATTTGACCTAATACAAAGATGGCCTAATGTATTAGGTCGAAAACATTAGTGTTTTGATTAAACATATCTCAGCAAGAAAGGTATATTGATGGATTATTCAACACATTCATTAAAACCTATCTTTTCTTTTAAATCAATGTGTGTAGACAACATAGAGTTGAAATTTTGCCTGCATTATACAAACTATAAATATGCCATCGAATAACCAATAAATCAAAATTGCCTAAGTGTTTGTCCTTGTAAATAATATCAACAAAACCGTCTAAATATACCAGCAAATATAATTTAATATAAATATGATACAACAAGCTCTTTCAATCCTAATAGGAACTGCTTCAGGTCAAAATGTTTGATAGAATTAGAATGCTAAAAGAATAACTTAAAATTTTTAAAATTGTTAAAATGATTAAAGATTAAAACAAGTATAAAAATCACATCTGTGTGTCAACATTACTTGTTCTAATATTTAACCATTCTTTTAGCATTCTAATTCTATTGAACATTTTGGCTTGAAGCAGATCCTATTAGGATCGAAAGAGCTTGTCATAGCATATTTATATTAAAGTATATTTGCTGGTATATTTTTGAAGGTTCTGTTAGTGTTATTTACTAATATATAACCAGCTTGGGAAGATTTAGAATATTTGTCCTTGGCCTCTTTTTTCAAGGTACAGTCAAATCTCGGGTTTCAAAGGCCTTTCTTTTTTAACAATTCAATTTAAAAATAAAATTTTGAACTCTTTTTTTGCACTAGTTGCTGTACGATAACTTGGTTGCCAAGTTATTGTACAGCAACTACACACAGCCACAGCCACAGTTTGGCACACAGCCACAGATAGTCAACTTCTTATACTTTCTATGTTAAAAAAAAAGTTGACAACCCAACCAATCAATGACGGGACTACCGATTTGGAAGTTAGTAGCACCAAGATCACCTTGAGTCACAATATGAATTGTCAATGATGTTGCTATTTAAATTACATTTCAATGCACATGCAGAAAAGATGATTTTTGTTTTTTGGTAAGTGCTGCAGTTTAATTTAAATCAAATTAATTAATAAAAACTGCATTAATTGGCATTCACATGATATAAACAGCGTTCAAGAATTTGTGTTTAAATATGTTTAAGTTAAATTAAATGACAAAACTTTATTAATATAATATTATATATTACAACACTAATATTTAATAATTATTAATAGTAGATAGCCAGTTAATTAAATTTAAAAATAATAAATAATTTAAACTGGCCTTTACACTAAAACTAAAATTTAAAAATAAAATAAATAAATAAATTAAATTAATTTCAATCAAATCAATTGAAACGTAATATTTCAGAAAGCATGGATAAAGTACTTGTTGTCCATCTTGATTCATTTGGTTATATTTCATGCAGGCATAACAGTCTCTATTTATAGCACTTCTTTGTAAAGTGTTAGTTTCAGTTTCAGTTGGTGGAGACAGAACTATTTGCATTTAATATATATATAATACTGTACTTTTTTTATAACTCTTTCTGCCCTGTTGGCACTAAGAGGGCCTCCATTAGAAATCCCATTATGGGTTCGGCCAGGCCCACAATGGGACGGCCAATATCCAGTGGTCCATCTGGATATGTTGAGCCCCATCCCACAAATAAGGGATGGAGCTCAACATATCCAGATGGACCACTCCCAAAAAATTCCTGAGGATTTTTCAACCTGTCTGGATTTGATTACGAATCCCCAGAGTGGTAGGATACCACCTTAACCGCTCAGCCATCCGGCCATAATATAATACTGTACTATATTATCTACACTCACTGCCTAAAGTTAAGCACGGAGCAGAGAATGTTCATGTCCAGAAAGCAATCTGCATTTGAGAGGCTGCAATTCACTGCAGAGGTAGGTGGAAGTATGCAAATATGTTAAGTTACTATCAGTCGTGGTTACGTGTCACTAAATATGCAAAACAGGCAGTCATATAAGAAGCCAGCCTTCTGAAGGGTGAGAGGAGTTGTATGTAAGTGGAAAGAAAAAGTGTGGAGAACTTTCATACAATTAGTGTGCATGACTGACATGTTTCTATGACTTCCAGAAGACGAATGACAGACAGTGAGTGCTGGCGGTGTGTGGGACGCCTTGAAGCAGGACAATCAATCACAGATGTTGCTCTTTTCTCAGTGTTCATCATTCCATCATTTCACAGTTATGGAAACAATTCCAAACAAGCCATACAGTTGTCCGAAGACCTGTGGCCAGTAGCCCAAGAGTTACGACCCTGCAGAAGATCGCTATATTGCTGTTGTAGCCAAGCGGAATCAAAGAGCAACCTCTACACGTGTAACATCAATGGTTGCAGCAGCCATTGGTAAAATGATATCTGCTACTACTGTGCGCCGAAGGCTACACATAAACTGACTGTACGTCCAGGTACCATGAGTTTGTGTTCCACTATCCGTCCAATCCAGAGGCACACGATTAAAATGGTGTAGTCAACATGTAAATTGGACTGTGTCTGATTGGGGCAACGTTATGATTACAGATGAGTCACAATTTTCCCTGGAGCCAGATGACAAATGTGTAAGAGTATGGAGAGAAAAAGGCACATGCAATCGACCCCAGAACATCATCAAGCATCATGCATTCTGAGGTGGAAGCATTATGGTGTGTGCAGGCATTTTGCTAGGATATCGCACCAACCTGCACATCTATCAAGGGTGTTCTACAACAACTGTCTGGTATCAGGATGAAGTCCTCGAACCCATTGTGAAATTGTATGCTGCAGTAGTTAGTCCTGCTTTTGTTTTAATGGATGATAACGCACAACCCCATAGCGCTGCCCTCATCGACGACTACCTCAAGAGTGAGGGAATAGCACGTATGGATTGGCAGGCGTATTCGCCAGACCTCAATCCCATTGAGAATCTTTGAGATGCCCTCGGCCGTGCTGTGTGTGCACAATTTCCCACCCCTGCCACTCTCACAGAGTTGCAAACTGCTCCACAGGAGAAATGGCACTTATTTGAATCTGGAGTGGTTGATCACCTCATGGAAAGCATGGTTCATGCTGTAAACTTTGTGTAAGGATAAGGGGTGACCATTTACCCTATTAATATCAGTTTTGTTTGTTTGTTTTGGATTTAAACATCATTTTGTTAATGATTCCAATATGATTTCATCTTATACTTTATGAAAATTCAATATTGTTTTCATTTTTCTATGTAATTCTTTGTGTTGTTTCATGCATAAACACATTTGCTACTGTCCTGCTACATTTCGTGTCAATCACAGCTGTATTTATCAATTTTTTCGCAGTTTATTGCTCCGTGCTTAACTTTTGGCAGTGAGTGTATATTATACTGCCCTTATAGGCATTTTTATGCATGAAATAAAGCTAAAATGTAAAAAAATGTTTTGTTTTGGAGGTCAGAAATAAATTAATCCATTTCTTATGGGAAAATTTGTTTCACTTTGAAAACAAATTTTATGAATGAATTAAGTTTGAAACCCAAGGTTTAACTGTATATAAAAAGGCTTTGCTTCTTTAAGAATAGCAATTACGGTCAAACAACTGACAATGGTAGCTGTGACCGTCCACTGCCTTACCTGATTTACTGGCAGTTCTCCTCTCTTTTTAGCAAAATATTGCTGCACATTATAAATCATTATGCCTCTTGGGCCTGACTTAGTAGCAAACTTCATTTTCCAATGCCAGAACACAAAGCTTCCATATACTGTTTATAATGGCAGTAACATATATAACAAATGAGGAAGAAACTTGCTACAACTAAGCAATCAATGGCTGATGCTCATTGGTTAATACCCAAGTTAATTCTTTCCATAGACAAAGTAGTGTTAATGAATGGATATTTATTTTTTAAAATGTCTATAAAGTGAAGTTTTAATTATTTTGTAAGAGTTATTTAGATTTCTTGTTTTAATTTACTTTATGATATTTTCTACAAAAAACAACCAAATACCTCATTCCATGTCCTCAGTGTCAAAACATGAACAGATTTCAATCCCAATAATAATATTTGAGAACCAAAGGCAGCTAATGAGTGATAACAAGCCCTTTCACCAGCTACAGTCTACATTAAGAAAAAGAAAAAAAGATATATTTATGTATTTATTAATTATTTTTCTTAATATGTATCAAAATTCTGTTAAAAAACACCCAAGATCTTTTATAATGAAAAACATCTACTCTATACATACAGTATAATAAAATACTTACCTTAAATTTGTCACAATTACTTTTCCATCAAAATAAAAAAGTACCAGTAATACCAAACAATCTGTCTGATTGTATCAGAGTATATTATGGCTACATTTAATAATTAAACATTAAACAATTTTCATAGAGGTAGGCAATTAAGTCACCATCTCATGATAAATTTAATAATTATAAAGAAATTAATATTTAGTATTTAATTTAGATAGTTCTGGAAGAAAAGAATAGGCCTGTATATGTAGTCATAATGTAGTCCAATTTGATAAAAAAAATCTAATTAATCAAGAATTGATCAGATATTTATATTTGTGTGTATTTGTTTGTTTTCGTGTGTGTACAGGTATCTCTCACATAACACAGTAGTTATGTTCCAAAAAAGTGCCATGTTATTCAAATCTGTGCTATACAAAACAGAGAACTAATGCAAAGCACAGGGTTACATTCCAGAAGTTAGCAAAAGTATACTATTCTTTTCTGTCACTAAGAGAATTATATTTATTAAAGCACTCGATAATTTATTTCCAATCAAAAATTAATTAACAATCACAATTACAAGCAATTTATTACATGTTAATATTCATTTTAGTTATACCAGGGCATTTTCTTTTACAAAGTATCGTCGTCATCTAGGCTTTTTTGTCGATCTCGATCAGAAGTATTAGCAATGTTTTCATGTTTTTTATTTTTACATAAAAATTTTTTATGGATGATGAAATAAAAATATGTTATTAATCAAAAATTTGTTCTAGTGAGTGAAGTTTGTTCTATCGAGTACCAAACAACTTTTTTCCAGAACTTGTGTTTGAATATTGAATTGTTTGAGTACCAAGATAACACCATAATTTTTTTTGTCACTTTACGAATGATTGCTTACCTACAGTTAAAAAAAAAAGTTAAACATTTTTAAGTAAGTGTTGTTAAAATAAACTTTACTAAATGAAAAGATTACAGTCGACCCCCCTATAATTACGATCCCTATAATTACGATTCCTATAAAACTACGAAAAAATTGTGACTGGTATCCGTAAAAAACAGTAAAAACCCCCTATAATTACCTCAAACGTCATCGGGCAGCCGAACTACTTTCCCGCCGTCCGTAGCACCAACTACGGAGAGATTTCTATAGTCTGGACAGTATTATATAAATTATATATAAATTAGGTACTGTACATATAATTATATATTAACTTATTGTAACTTTGTTATAATTAAATATATAATTTCCACCGTCTAGCGTGGCGCCACGCTACGGAGATTTTTACGCTAACTATCGTCTGTAGAGTATGTAAATTAGGTACCGTAAGTCTAATACAGTACTGTAATTTTATACATTTCTTGTGAAATAAACATTTCTTATTCAACGGCGATTAAAATTATTTATATTAATGATGTCTCCGAAGTTCTACGAAGTTTTCACAGAAAAATAAGTTGTTAGAAATCGGCCGCTCTTTGCTGAGCTGTTCCGCGACGAAAACAATGTTGAGCAATGGCAATGTCGAATGGTGACACTCGGTAAGTAATCCTACAATTTTTTGTTTATAGCGTAGT